CACCACTCTCCCCAATATAGTAAAGATGCCAGCACTCACCATCTCACGCACTGTTGTTCACTGATCAAGAGGGTTGCTGCTTAACTACAGGATTTGTTGATTTTCAGAACATAATAAATATTGTTGTATTGTACACGTACATATACCTGGTTTATTCACTCATCAGTTAGTTGTCGAAGTGCAAAAGTAGCCAAATATCAATTAATTTTAAAATAGAAATTATAAATTAAAATGTTATAAGATAATGGTTTAATAATGCTGTTAATGTGTGTCAGGAGTGACACGAATGGTTTCCACATACGACGAAGTGCTGGGTCGTGGTGTTGATGACAGAGGTGGTGGTGACGGACTTAGTGGTAGGTCTGCTATCTCTGATGTTGAGAGCTGTGGGCCGGGGCCAAAAACACTGCCACCATTGGTACTAAGGAAATAGCTGGTAGAGGAGGCAACACTAGGATAGCTTTAGCTGTTACTGAACCTGTAGTTGTTGCTGATGCTGAATTCGATGGTGTAGCTGTACCTGAAGTTGATGGTGTAGCTGTACCTGAAGTTGGTGTAGCTGTACCTGAAGTTGGTGTAACTGAAGTTAATGGTTTAGGCTTTCAAATAATAAAACTGTCTAAAGAACATTGCACAGCTGCTTTCTTTTTCTCAATATACATCTTTGTATAGGGGTCATATGCTTTTTTCACATCCATTAATTCGTTCTGTTAATGTATCCACTTCAGAAAACACATTCAATGCTTGCTCCATGTGAACAAATGCTTCTGCCAAATGCTTTGTCATAAATTTCCATGAAGGTGAGGTAGGGGTAATCTGTTGGTGTTCCCGTCATGCTCTTGTTCAAGTTCTTCATTAATTAGATCTTCTCTACGACTGTTTAATAGCTCCTGAACATTCTCTACAACAACAACTTCAACTCCTACAATGTGCTTGGCAATATTTCTTTGAATGTTTGGCACGCACGCGCGCGCGCACACACACACACACACTCAGGAATTAAGACAAAAAGCATCCAGTGAGGGTCTTGTTGTGTGACTGCATGGAGGCAAATTGAAAGATAGCTGTTGAGGAGCTCATCGCTTGGCAACACTGGTACATGTTACACTCCTTTCTACTCCATCTCTCTAATCACCCTGACCTTTCTGCTTTCTCACCCCATATTTTAAAATTTTATGTAATGTAATGTTGAGGGGATACAACTTTGCTCATTTAGAGTTATGCTTATCACAATCTCCCTAAAAATACTTTACCTTTCGTGTTTATTCAAGACATCTTCTGGTCATGAGACCCACTAATCCCCCCACCCAAGAAAGGGTGACCTGACATTACATTAGGTCAGGTCCCCCCCAAAGAATAATACTTTAGCTTTCATTTTTATTCAAAACATTTTCAGAAAATGCTCTTGATTTTCAACATAAAAAAAAAAAAAATGTTCCCAAAAGCCGGAATTTTTTGGAAAATTCCAACTTCAGGAATAATTTTCTGAGCAAATTTCAATTCCAGCTTTTTGGGAGTTCCGGGTTTGAAAGATTCCAGCTAACGGAGTTATTACGTACAGTATATACAGTGAACCCTCGAAGATACGGACTAAAAGGGGGGACCACCTGTCCGGAAAAGCAGATTGTCAGAATTTTCCATCAAATAATAAATATAAGAAACACCAAAAATACAGCACAAATGTAATGATAAACAAATTAATGTAGTAGAAGTCCAAAAATCCGGATGCCAGAAATCCGGACTTCCTGAAAACTCAACTTTTTAAATTTAGTGGGCTTTTGTGTGTGTGTGTGCGCATGCGTGAGCGCCACAGCTGCACAGCGACCACTCGGTCGCCATTTAAAAACGAGCAATCAAACTGTGACAACGTATGTAATATTGTGTCCTACTCTTTCCATTTACCATATACTGTATAGCATACATATCTACAAGCCCATAATAATGGCTCCTAAAGTAGATAAACTTCGTTGTGAAGAGATAGAACACGTTGAAATTGAGTGACAAACTTGAAATAATTAAGAAACTAGAACGTAGTGTGAGCAATACTGATCTAATGGAAACATACGACATCGGAAAGTCTACAATTTACGATATAAAAAAGGCAAAGAATAAAACTCCAAAATTCACAGCCTCGTCTGAGTATTTGCTAATGAATAGACTATCAAAATGTACCTGTTCATCTCTTCTTTATTCCTCCTTAAATTTGAATTTTAAAAGTACTGCCCGAGAATCCGGAAAATCCAAAAATCCGGACCGACCCAATCCCCGAAACATTGTATCATTACTCAAGTGAATGAAATAATATTCCCACAAACAACAATTATTTTTCCCACCTCCTCGGGCACCTGTGTCCAAGCAACTGACGGGTCAAGCAGCGCCCATGGGCCTAAAATGTTCTTTGCTCTGGGTTGGGTAATGTTTCTTAGGGAAACTTCTCGGAGGCTTCTTCGCCCAGAACCCCCAATTTTTTTTTCCAGATCTTTTGAAATCCGGATTTCCCGATTCCAGATCTTCGAGGGTTTACTGTACTATACCGTAATACAGTATTTTGAAATGGCTCTCATTTTTCAAAATTTTATCAAATATTACACAATTTGTAATATATATTTTGTAACAGCAAAACATTACAAACTTGAATGATTTTGAATTTGGAGGGTACTGTCCACATCTTTCTCTAGGCTCGTGATGTCATAGAAACAAACAGACTGTGCTGTGTAAGGCCGAATGAAACTTTTTTTTTCCAAATTACATACTAGTGCATGTGTAGTTATGCTAACACTAATAATACTTATGTATAGTATTGTATACAATTGTACAACCAATGCCTAAATATTCAAGTTTGTTATCATCTTCTTGTGAGGCTCGTTGCATCATGGAAAAGCCATTGGAAAGTCACTAAGCCAAAGCCAGCCCATTTAAAGTCATGAAGCCATAGCCAAACACGAGAAAAATTTTAAAAGCCAAAGCCAAGGCTTTTATAGGTTTCACAAAACCTTAAGACCATTACTTATACTGTATTACCTTACAGGTTGATGGGAATATATATGATATTATAAAGTTGCAGAAAGGCTTCGAGATAAAATGACTTGGGGTTATGTTTTGGAAAAAATTGCTTATAACAATTTATTTTTAAATTTTTATTTTATCCATTGCCTTCATTATTTTATTAATTCATCACCATTAATTTTATTATTACTCAAAACAATTAAATATGCAAAAATTTTACATATTATATAAACAGTAATTTACAGTCACAAATTGCAAAGGATCTGAGAAGGCAGAGGTGATACAGTAGGTTAGGTTAGGTCAGTGTGAGAATAGACCAACAGAGATCAGCTGTGACATCAGTGTGCCTGTAGCATGCACCTAGACTTTCTTGGGCAGGTCAGGTCATTGTGTGAATAGAAAAGTCCGGGATCAGCTTAGCTGTGATGTCACGATACGGCCAGTGTCTGTATAAAGATGAAAATCCAAAGCCAGGCCTGTGGCTTTGAAGCTGAAGCCAGTACCCTGCCTCTGGCTTCAAAGCCAAAGCTGATGCCCTTAAAAAGTTTTGAAGACAAAGACCAGTCCAAAAAAGCCTGGTTCCAGAAGTTTCAACCCCATGTCGGTACACAAATAAAATCTTAAAAACTCTGGGAGGATCTCTCTTCTAAACAATGAATTTATAATGTATGTTGTGGAGCACAGTACTGTTTTATCAATTTCTGTATCAGAAGGATGGGAATTTTCAATCCACTTTCATCATGGTTGTTTTTATGTAGACACAAACTTTTCCTCGTGAGTTGTCTTTCATTCATTCTTAGTACTGTAAGAAAAAATGTGTTCTGCGATATTATTCACCTTCCACAAATAGGATTTGTTACAGTCTCTTTACATATGCCAACACCCCACAGCTGTAGTACCGGTAAGTCCTTCCTCAGAATCACTTAACGCTGTGCCCTTCACCCATCTGCGTACTGTATACTGCTTCTTCTGAATTTCCATCCCTCTTACTTTCAGTGCCTCTTTCACCCCTATCAATCCATCTCCTTGGCCTTCCCTCTCAGAATCATGCAATCTTCAATTTTCTGCCTCCTTTTCTTTAAATATGCCCATACCATCAGAGCAGACTTGATTTGCTCTATGCCCAAGACTTCTTTAACTTTCTCAACATCTAAACAGATTGAGAGAGATCTGTAATGTATTCACACCAGAACACTTGCTAAAGAAATATATGTGTAGAAAATACTGTTACCCATACAAGGCAACACACTTTAATTATTCTTTCACAATGATTATCACTCATACTTACTGCCGCTATTCATTGTGGGGCACTGGGAAGGACCCAAGCACAATTTATTAATTATCTGCTTACCACTTTACCTCAAAAAATCAACACAATTAAGTTCACAAATTATATCATAATCCATTAAATATTAGCATATTATATCCAGCAATTACAGTACAATAGTCAATGAACAAACAACCCTCCAGAGGACTAACATCCACCAGCTACTGAATCAAGTGATAACACCTGTCCAGCTATTATGCATCGTAGTTTGAATGGGCTTGTATGCGTAAAAAAGGTCATATAAAATCATATGTAAATATCTAAACCTTCAAATGTCATATATACAGTAATACTACAATTTTCACCATTATCAATGCCGAGAATTAATATCAAGTGTTATGAATATTCAAACTTTTAACGTTCACGTAAAACGAAATGCACTGTTTTCTTGGGAGAAGTTAATAAGACTTCATTAATTCATCAGCAAAAACAGAAAAAATTATGGAAATTAAACAAAAAAATAAAAACACAACAAAAAAGTCCAGGGGTCATAAACTTCATTTTTGTGGCTCACCCACAATTTACTCAATGAATGTCTGTCAGTCAAGATTGGTATCCATATAAATAAACTTTACACAAATTTTTTTTTACAATTTAAAATCTAATTTGTCATGCTAGCCTTCTTTTTTATACTGTACTTGAATCATAGGGTAAGTGAAACAACACATCTTGTGATTTGTGTATTGGAAGTTAAATTTTAGGTATGTGGGTGTTCTGTTAACAGTAAAAAGGTGATCTGGGTGTTAAAAAAATCCATCAATGCTGAAGACATTGTTTGATTTCAAAAGTTTCTATGATGATATGGTATTTGTAAGAAACCTTTGTGTTGACACTAAGGCAAATAGATGGTCTATGACATTGTTTCCTTATCAACATCTGCGGCCGTCCTAGGAAGTTGCGCCTCAGCAGACATCTGTATGCGGCTAGTATTAAGGGGTAACAATTCCTTAACAATCCTTTTTCCCTTCACAAACACACGTATCAAGATCACCTTCTCACATATGGACACACATTCATGTTACAAAATGTATGAAACCAACTCAAACTAATATTATATTACATACAGGTACTCTTTTAATAACAACTACACCTTGTATACATAATTAACCCTCATAACTCGACATTTTTTTTACGCTCATTGGACTATTACTACAAACTTATAAAAGCTCCATCCTTTGGTTTAACATATACTGGCTGATTGGTCTGTAATTAAAAGGAAAATAATGAACAATCCTCTCAAGGAAAGTACAAGTACTAACACTTCCATATGAAAATTACATCCCTCATTATGAACATTAAGACCATCTACTTACCCCACCCATCTTATTAATCGAAATAGTTTATTCTAAGTACCACCAACACACACTGGCATCAAGGATTCCAAGCAAAAAACCCTTGTATGCCATTAGATAGAAATTTAACATTTTCTCAACTGCCAGATGAGAATTAGAATTTGGCATTTTTTTTCTATAAAAGCTGTAAAGGATGTTTGGTTGCAAGCTTGGTTCATATTTGTTAAACTTATGTATTACTGAAGAAGGGGTTTGGTATGTTTATCTCCTTGTATTGGAAAGGTATAAAGCCATTAGTCCATTAGCACTGCGACCTTTGACCTTTCACATGGGGGTAGGCAGATACTGACACAAGTCTCTCACGTGCACAAAGCCCCACAAGATAGTTACATATCAACATTGTCCCTCAGCAGGTCACCATGGAATTTGCACGCACTCGATTTAGGGAGCTACAGCCCAGCCAACTCTGAGTTTGTTGTAGCTTTCTTGCCCCCCATGAACGCATGGTCCGCCAAGGCTTCTGCCAAAGAACAAAGTTATTAATAGTCTATCCATACCCTACAGGAATTCTTCCACTGTAAGACATTATGTGGATGTATGCATGCAGGAGTGTGTATGTTTCACAATAGTGTTTACTTTCTGTGTGTGTGAGCAAGTATGACCACACCTTTTCTAATGTAAGTAAAAGCATGCACACCTTTTTATTCATTTATATGCAGGTAAAAAAGCCTTACTCACCAAGTCAAACTCACTCTGTAATGCCATTTGGCAAAGCCATTGATATTTTCTGGGCACTTCATTATGTACCAGTAATAAATGCTATTTTACAATGTATATTTTGCCCTATTTGTCTGGAAATTTGGCAACAAACTGGGTTTTTAGAACAACCCAGATTGCAGTTACATTATTTATACTGGCTTACACAAAATATTAAAACAAGTTAACCCTAACCATCAGGTTATTATAACTAGTCAGTGGTGATATGAATATGCCTTACACTACTGTAGTTATTATGAAGTTAATGGAAATACAGTACAGTATGCATATGATTCTAATTAGCTATTTATCATGCACTGCCTTCTTAATAGAGATCCAAACCTTGGTACAATGGAATGTAAGAGCAGTGTAAAAAAAAAAAAACATTTCTGCCGAGCAGTATGAAAACAGTTTATTTCTGCTGAGCAGTGTAAAAAAAGTATATTTCTGCTGAGCAGTATGAAAAACAGTTTATTTCTGCTGAGATTTTACCATTTTGATTTTACACTTCTATTTCCACAACCTTGCTATGGGAACCAAATTCTTTTCAGATGTTCCTAGCCTATACAATATTTTACCACCAAAGTCTGACAGTAACAGAATTGCTATTGTCAATGAAGGGCAAATAAAAAATTTACACATCTTCCTACTTATAGGGCAGTGCCACACAATCAGTTAACTCAAGTACAGGTACTGTATGGTCTATATGAAACAATCACTCATGCTCTCTTCGATGAAACATAAAGGACGCTATGTTACTATGTACTGTATTACCTTCCGGCAGCACAAATATATAGCCAAAGAACAAAAGGAAAGTTGGCAAACATCTCTCAAAGTCAATCTGACAATACATGAGTAACTCCTTAGCTTTCCAATATGGTGAAAAGACTTCCCTGAAAGCCAATGACATAAAAGTTATACCATCATTGTAACATGATGACATGACAAGAACAAGTTTCTGTTGATAGTTAATGACCAAATTTCACCACCATGGCAACATAATAACATTGAATGGATGTTCCGGATATCCAATTATGTGAACATTTCACACCAAAGTGCAACTTAATAATTAAAGACAGTAACCCTTCAATTTTCAAAGGTATTTTTGTGGATATGGATTTAAATAAAATACCAAATCACCCCGTTTAAGTAAACATTTCGAGCTTCGGTATTATGTGCCTGTAATAAATACAAATTTTCAGTGCAAAAATAAGTTTAGTGTTAGGATTTTGTTGTTTTAACATACAATTAGTTACCACATGCCATTGTTGCATTTTTCTGTTTGTACTGTCAATTGTTTATAAAATCCTCTGGAAGTGTGGATATAGATGTCTCTACACAGCTGAAAGTATAAAATGTCTTGGGAGGTGATGGAGGGAATTAACACGTCACAAAAACCAAGTTATGGTTGCTAATGAGCCACACCACTTACTGTACTTCAGTCAATCACAGTGAAGGAGGGCCCACCATCACACACTATTTGCTCACTAATTACTGTACTTGCATATTTTTTACAAAAATTCAGTTTGTACTAACTTCTCTCTAATTAGTCTGATTTTGTATATTGACAGGAAAACTATATACTGTACCCTACCAAACATCACAGGTGTCCTTGACTCAGGTTTCCTCCTGTACTGCACTAACACTAGACAGACCAACTGCCCAAATGGCTAATAGTAGGCAGTTATCAAACAGGGAGGTACTACTGCCTGGGAAGATACTGTTAGCATAATGTGTTCTAATGGCAGACCCTGCTGCTGTATGGCATCATGAAAATTGTGACAAGTTCCAAGTTGCAATTCTGCTTTTCTGCCTCATTTACACACAATGGTAGGGTCTCAATTATTTCTCTTACTTTGACAGCACAACATACATAACCCCTGTATATGGTTTCTCACTCTTTATTTTTTTTCATATTTATATATGGCTCATTATTATTATTATATTATTATTTTTATTATATTTATTATTATTATTATTATTATATTTTTAGCCCCCCCCCCAGGGCCCGATGTGGGTCAGTGATCCATGCCCAGGAGGGCAAATCCCCATTAAAAAAAAAAGCTGATAATTGGTAAAATGTTAAATATTCTTAGAAAATTTACTTAACTAGTAAAAAATACCCCATAGTATACTGAACTATCAAGTTCCAACACACTCATACATACTGACCTGCAGGCTCAAGATGCAATTACTCCAAGTCAGGTAGGTCTTCATCATCCGAGTCTTCATCTTCAAGATCATCCAAAGATGGTCGGCTGTCTCCACCCAAACCACCCATTTGACGCATCACCTGTGGTGCAACATGAACTATTAGGGGAAATTTGAAACCTTTAGATCATTATAGCATTTACTCATGGAGATAAAATTTAATGAAAATAGGATCACAGTATCACCAACAGTATATCCACAAAAGTGACCAATTTCTACTTTGCAGTAAAGTTCAAGAGGTCATAACTCTCAACAACATTATCTTAAAATACTGTACTAACACTCAAACCCACTTTATTGAATGCCCATCATGCACCCACAAACCACCAGAGGGTCGAGACCTATTCGGTGCTGCTGCAGCAACCGCCAGGACCAATTGTTGGCCCTCCCTCTACCCCTCAACTCCTCCTTCCCACCGGGATATCAACAAAATCTCACCAAAAGTGACAATTTGTTTCGGCAAGAGGTGGAATCAGTGTTGAACAGTGTTTAGGCCAGTTAAATCAACACTAAACAGTAACAGCCAATAGTGATCACCAAGTTAACTGTCACACCCACCAGTGTGGCCCTAACACCCAGAGATAAGCACCCCTGGGAACCAACCACCATCTTCTGACCAGGCAGTATAGTGTTAATCAGTCCACTCCGAGAACAACAGTAGATCGGCTTTACACCTGAATACGATACCACAACACCACTTGGCAGAGTGTGAGATACTGTGACACCACCCAGTGTCTCCATGACACTACAACACAATGATTGAATTGCTACAGTGTCATGAGTTACTGCACCACCTGAGGTCCTTCATATCAACACCTAGGGATGAGTTACTGCACCACCTGAGATCCTTCATATCAACACCTAGGGTTACTTCTCCACCTGAGGTCCTTCATGTCAACACCTATGGACGAGTTACTGCACCACCTGGCCTACGTGACCTCACACAGTAGGGCAAGAGACCAGCCACTGCCATCAACTATAAAATATAGTATATTGAACTCATGTTCTTTCTCCTTTTAGTAATGAAAGCCTTTGTTAAATGACCAGCCCATCCCCCAGCCTTTTGACTCTTTAACTTTTCCAATAAACCATTAAATATTATTATTTATATGCCCTCAGTTCACCCCCCCCCCAACAGAGCATTGGATAACAATATGAGAGATACTGTACTGTACATACCTCTTCCAGGTCTTGGTTCTGACCTTCTCCTTCATCATCACTATCATCTTCATCCTTCCACCTGCTGAAGTCTACCTTAAGCCAGTGCTGTTTCATTTTCTGTTTAAGAAGATGTGGCCAGAAAGGTCCATCTTCTTTCTTTACCAATACTAATTCTATGTTACGGTCACGGACAAAGCTACGGCTTTTCTGTTGGGGTTATACAAAGGTACATGTTAGTGTATTTTAATAAAACTGTACGAAACATTGCTATCACTTACAATTTACATATTATTAAATAGTGTACTGTACAGTATTAAGAGGGAGAGAGAGGGAGACGGGAGGGGGAGAGAAAGAGGGAGAATATTTTGTAGTCTAATAGTACCTGTCAGCATCTTAGCTTCATCCCATTACTTCTAGTACGAGTTATCAAGTAGGAATAGTTTGTTTGGGACAATGTTGATGAACCTTTGAATATTTCAAAACATTCGATTAATCTACCTCGGAGTCGACGCTTCTTGAACTAAACCAAGTCTAATTCCTCCAACCTCTCTTCATAGGGTGTCTTACATAATGAAGGCATCATCTTTGTTGCTCTACGCTGGACAGCTTCTAATTTCACAATATTTTACAGGTAGTAGGCAGCTACCAAACAGGGAGGTACTACCGCCTGGGAAGATATTGGAAGCATAATGTGTTGTCTAATGGTAGACCCTGCTGCCATAGGGCATCACGAAAATTGTGACCAAGTCCCAGGTTGATGATCAGACTTCTGCCTCATTTACACACAATTGCAGGGTCTCAATTGTTTCTCTTGCTTGGACAACACAACATATATAATGTATATAATTTCTCACTCTTGATTTATTTTTTTCAATTTTGTATTTATTTATGGTTATTATTTTTATAATTTTTATTATTTTATTTGTATTAATTGGCTATTAATTTTATTAATTGCTGTAATAATAATAATAATTATTATTATTATTATTATAATTATTATTTATTATTATATTTTTGCCCCCAAGGCCCTGATGTGGGTCATTACCTGTGCCCGGGTGGGCTAATGCCCATAAAAAAAAATAAATAAAAAAATAAAATTCTTGACAAAGTGATATTGTGAAATTAAAGTTTATCCAGCTATGATAAACATAGGTACGGTAGTTGCTTTATCGATTTATACTCAGCCAATGAGAAATAGAGTACTGTATATGATGTAATGCTTGAATTTGTAGAGTGCAGCCACTATACTCAGTATCCTAGCGCGGCAGACCCACGGACCCTAGAGGGTTAATTACTGTTATTTATTGTCAAACATTTCTCTCGTCGTGGTCATACCACCCCCCCCAAAAATTTTCTCAATAGATCTATGCGATTCATGTGGGTAGCCTAAACGACAGGAAAAAATGGAAAACCAGTTGAAAATGGAGAATTCAGATCCCTATTGTGGACACCCTGAAAAAGAAGAAAAAGGAAACTGGGAAAACTTACTTCAGGGTCAATTTCCTTATAGAACTCATAAGTATATTCATAATCTTTCTTTTCTGTGCCACCAGTGCCTTTGAAAAATAATTTGTTTTCTTCTATGTTGATGGTAGGACTCTGGCAGTCCTCCAAACAGATTGTGAGGAACACCAGGTTTTTCCTCTGTGCCCAAGCAACCGGAGGAGGAAGAGTCCTGCAAAAAAGGAAAAAACTTAGTTTATTTTTTCTTACAAGCCTTTACCTGCAATGATAATGGATGATTCTTAACATACAGCAGATACTGGGTCACAAAAACTCCTTTGCAGGTCAAAGGGCTGCTCCATTATTAGAAGTACACCTAATAGTGTAATAATCTTTATTAGTTACAGTAGTGTAAAAGAAGGGAACCCAGCCCAGCTGTCCTGCCAGGAATCAATTCCTATACTGCACCCCTTATTTGCAAAGCAAATGCTCTAACATTCAGCAATAAAATCACATCTATGAACTTCAATTCAGAACACTCCTAATGAAAACACATTAAAATCATATACAGTGGTCCCTTGGTTAACGAACGCCTCGGTTAACAAAATTTTGGTTAACGAATTACCTTCCATAAGAATCTTCATTTCGGTTAACGAACAAAAATTCGATTTACGAAATTCTTACGACAATGTTTCGACATGCTTTGGCTTGCTCACCAACTGGAAGATTAGTCCGCCAATACAGAAATCGGTTCTAGGGCTTACATTCGTTAAAATTGGAGTAAATATCAAGAAGGTTGTACTATTCAATAATTTTCCAAGTTTTATATTAAAATTTTTAGTCATTTTAACACTTATTTAACATAATTGCAGTACAGGTAACTAGTTTTCGGTGCTCCCATCAGCCATTTCACTCACCCACCAAGGCCTCAGTTTGTATCTCTGTTCAGTGGAGGAAACATCTTGCTTGTGGGTCTCTTGAACACAGAGTATTTTTACAGTACTGTACAATTATTGGTCATTCTGAAATTTATTTAACATATTGACAATATACAGTGCAGTACAGTGTTGATTTAAAGACAATAATCTTGAATTACACATAGTGCACTTAAAATTTTATGGGTGAAAAGACGGCATCAAGCATGGGGTGATTTCTCTTCCATCCCCAGTTCCTTCTCTTCTACCTTCTCTTCCACCCCCACTTCTAATTCCCATCATTATCAACCAGGAGCCTTCTATATACACACCTCAAAGTAAGTGTAATTTTACAGCATTTTTTTTTACTTTATATGTAATTTTCGGTGAGCTGGAACCAATTACCCAAAATCCCATTGAAACAATGATTTCGGTTAACGAACGACCTTCTGGAACAAATTGTGTTCATTAACCGTCGGTTAACGAGCACAATCCGTTCTAGAAGGTTGCTCGTTAACCGAAAAACTCGTTAACCGAAACCATTGTTTCAATGGGTTTTTGGGTAATTGGTTCCAGCTCACCGAAAATTGCCTAAATTCAACCAAAAAGGTAGAAAAGTACACTTACTTTGAGGTGTGTATGTAGAGGGCTCCTGGGTGATAATGATGATGACGGGAATTAGAATGGGGGTGGAGGAGAAGGGAGAAGAGAAGGCATTGGGGTGGAGAGAAGTCACCCCATGATGCCATTTCACCCATAAAATTTTAGTTCTCTTGGTGTAATTCAAGATTTTTTTCTTTAAATCAACACTGCACTGCATTATATATTGTCAATATGCTTGCAAACACAGAAAAAAAGCATTTAGTTGAAGAGAGTCTCAAGCAAGATGTTACCTCCACTGAAAAGACACAAAGACTGACGCCTGTATGCTGTATTGGCAGGCTGGATGGCGTGCCACAAACTAGTGACCCTACCTTCAATTATGTTCAATAATTGTTAAAATGACTAAAAAAATTAATATTAAACTTTTAAAATTTTTGAATAGTATAAACTTCTTTATATTTGCTAAAATGGTAAGGAATTTAAGCCCTAGAACCGATTACTGTATTGGCGGACTAATACTACAGCTGGTGGACCGCCAAATGCAAGCGAAAACATGTTCAGGTTGGCTCGTAAGAAACTCGTTAATCGAGGGATTGCTCGTTAACCGAAGTTAAGAATCTTATGGAAGGTAACTCATTAACCGAAATCTCGTTAACCGAGGCGCTCGTTAACCGAGGGACCACTGTACAGTATTGTAGTCACGTGAAATGAGATAGACATAAATGGAACCATCAATGAAATGGTTCTTACCCGAAAGAAACCAAAATTAAGAGGTTTATCAACCATGCATGAAAAACTTATTGACTTTGGTTGCATTGCACATAAAAGCATCTACAGTACTGTAATTCATCTTGTTGAAAAGGAAACCAATGGCTTGTTTAATCCTCCCATTGTTTCTCATGAGTTTGGTCCCTCACAGGTTATGTTAGTAAAGGAGAAAACCTATGATATTCGGTAATGTCACAACATCAAAAATCCCACTGTAGTTATTGTGCAGAAACATTTTAGATACAGAAAATTTTTGAAAAAAAATGAAAATAAAAAAATAAGGCAATAGTGCACTGAAAAATGATGCCTCCATCACCAGCAGGTGAAGGAAGAATTAGGGGCTGAAAACGTGCTCTTGAGACTATATCATTGACCCATTTTTTAATTCTCATAGGAACCAAGGTAACCTAACCTAATACAGTATTGTATACATGTAAATATTGCATACTGTACTGCACTTCATTTTCTGACAACAGCACTACCACCAGGAGTTGTTGGATTTCCTTCATTTTTCCTGCAGATGTTATTATCATTATACTTAATATTTTTAAAGGAGGCGACAACTTTTTTTTTTTTAGTTTTCTCGCTCTACGATCATAAATCACCTGTAGTGCGCAGGGCATGAAGGGTGAGGGAAATTGTGGGGTAAAACACGGTGAAAAATTTATCACGACACTAAAATTTTGTCTCTACATGCAGTAAAATTATCGTTTCAGTCATACACCTATTTGGGTGTTGTTCAAAACACATCAAAAACCATTGGAAAAAAAACATAATTTCAACCTAACTGTAGATATATGAGACGAATATGGCTGTAATATGTAACTCTGTACTATTTACCATTATTGATTTAGGTCTCTGTATTATATGTTTATAATCACACTCCCTTTTGTCACCAAGTGTTAGTTCATGCTTTGGGCAGATGCGCGCTGTATGCGCATGCGCAGAGAGATACCCAGAGAGATTCCAAGACAGGACGCTGTTTACCCTTGTCTCAACTCCTTTGTGTTTGTACCAGGAATAGAACTTACGGACTTGACATCAGAGTGTTTCCTTTACCCCTGAGTGCAAGGACCACCACTTAAAATCCAAAAATTTGCTGCATGACCAAAACGATAATAATACCCTATGTGCTTTGTATGTAATATAATTAATTATTTACTGTAAATACTCCTCCGAAAAATTTGTCGGGTCACCGCGTGTCATCGGTTTGTTAACAGCCGACCCACTCAGTCCGAGCATACGGTGCTCTAACATCCACAAAAAATTTAAAATTACACCACGACACTTCAAAAAACTTACTTTCATCGGTACAGTTGCAGAAATGTGTTCTCCACCCCCGGTGGTAACCTGTGTCTCCAAACGTCCAACCTATATGACCTATAGCAAACCTATCCACCAATCACGTCCATCGTTACACGATAGGGTGACCATTTCCAAATTTCCAAAAAGGTGGAATTTATTTTTTGGCGACACCTATTTTTTAACCTAAATTAAGCATGTTTAATGATGAATTGAAAATACATGAAAAAGTTGTTTAAAATATACAAAATACACTTTGAAGAATTGTTGATTTGTTAAATATTACTATAATGTGATGAATGCTATTTTGTGGTCATTTTTCTAAAGTTAATTTTTTTAAACGCACTGTATATATTACATAAATGCATTCATACAGTATAAATAAAGAACTGAAAGAAATGAATATTCATTTTTACTTCTGCTGAAACAGCATATGCTAACCAAATTGAAGCAAGAAAAAATTCAACCACTCTCCACTGCGGCCTTGGGCAGACTGACCATCTCGGACACGTTGAAGGTGTTGATAACTTGACTCGTACTGTCGTACACTGCGGCTCATCAGCAGTGTTGACAACAGCACTACATATAATAATGCGTTAACGGTTATTACGGCCTTCAGTTCCCGCTGTTTTAAGTATACCTAAGGTAATTTATATAATTCTTTTTAGTCAGACAACAAAAAAGGAGGACAAATTAACATCCGGCTCAAGGTAGAGCCGGACGGAAGACAGACTGTCCAACCTAAATCCGGACGTCTGGCCACCCTATTACATGACCAATACCCATTCAATTATAAATAGTGATACTACTGCTGTGACGGTGCCGTTTGGAGGCATGGGCTACCACAGAGCGTAGAAACACATTTCCACAACTGTACCAAATACCAACTTCTGTTTATAACTTCACAACGATCGACTCGGCGAAATAAATGCCAATTGCCGCCAGTCGCGGTCAAATATAGTTTTCACGTTGTTAGCCGGTAATGGACAATTAGCCAATCAGATCGCACTCTCAATAAAATAGCGTTGATAGGAACTTAGCCGGTCATGGCAAAATATCCACTACGACACCAAAACAACATAAAGGAGCTACAATGGGTAATTAAACTTATGCAACTTCTCAATCAGTTAAAATATTTCCTAGTAATATAATAAATACGCCATTTAACAGCAGAGAAAGACTGGCATTACATGTTAAGCCTCACATGACAAGAGCCATTGTTTCATGAGTGGTAAAGTACTGTCACATATTCTCAACTGCCAACTATTCATTTACATATCATGGTTTTTACATGGACAGAATATAATATACCAGTTCAATCTGAGGCCAAGTATATAATGGTAATTAAACCTGAGAAATGTTTGTGCAATAGCCGATATCTTGTCCACCTCATTATAAATACAACCCAGTGTAATGCCGCTATTCTGCTATCAAATAACCTTTCACAAGTTTGAATGGTCCATTAATCTCTAATATATACTTCCCAGATACTCTAACTAGTATTGGTTTAAATGTATGAGTGGCCCACGCTGCCGGTGTTTCATTCTTAATTATTACTCTTTCCCCCATTGAACTTTATTACCGACGTTATTCAACTACTCCTCCACCGTCTCTTACTCCCTACATTCACACCACCTAGCGCATTACCTCTAAATTCTCTGTAAATTCATTAAATTACTCACTGTGGGGATGACATGGTGTTTGGCGTTTGGTCTTGGCAACGTAAATAAGTGCATTGACGATTAATAGGATCGGCTGCCATGGGCTGAATAGTATTAGATTCTCCTAAAGAGGGTCCAGTAAAGAAATCCAATACTCTACTCCGATACTCTTTTAGCGTCTCCAGGGGGAGGCTGCTTTCTATATTTATACTCCGAGCAGCACTTTAATATTTGTACGATAATCCCTACTTACAGTTTCTTAATTATGGTTAGATATAATAAAAATAATAAATTTAGATCGAAGAGTATTCTTAGATTCAATTCTACTATCAACATGTCTAGATGACAAGAACGGAAGTGTTGCTTGGACTTGACTACTACCGTATTCGGAAGCTTCCAGAATGAGCTGGCACAAAATCATTAGAATCAATAGATATTTCGAGAATATTCATTTTAAAATTAACTTTACAAGGCCTCATGAATTCACGCACAAAAAAAACAATGCATAGAATGTTGAAGTACCTATGGAACAGAATTATTTCATATTTAGTATTTTTCTTAACATCTCAAAGCAGCTGAAAATCTATTGGTATTAATATTAGTTGTTCACTGTGTTTCTCCGGTAGTGTGTGTCATTACACGGTAATCTATCCTTCGATTAACCTATCGCGTACAAACACAATAATTACAATCAAGACCTCATCAACCTCTGCGTGTGAACAGGGATTATATGTTTGAAGTCCGCCTGATATACTGTATATATATATATATATATATATATATATATATATATATATATATATATATATATATATATATATATATATATATATATATATGCATAATTACCTTAGTGAGAAGGCTGGCTCTCTCTGGGCCTCCGTGGAGTCAATACATGTCCTGGTCCTGTACACGACATAATCGGCAGTCGTTTCAAGTTATTACATATTTTCATTATTTTCACTCTGAAAAAGAATCCCAAATATTTCTTTTTTTTCTAATAAACCCTCGCATTACTCTGTGACAGACCTCTCGTCGTTAGTTGTCACTCATCACAAATAGGTCATCCCTGCTTTACCTTCATTCTTGGTGCGGAATGATAAATATATTGTTTTTTTGTATGAAGATATGCGTTTTAGGGGTGCATGCAACGTTTGTGTAGCCAAAATACTACCGGCTGCAGAAGCCGTGTGTGGAGTTCATCGTGGAGGAGGGTAATTTCTCAAGCTTAAAGTCGAACATGGGCAGATGGTTTGATATGTAGATGTAGGTTGGATAGTATTTGTAAGGAATGGTGATGCATAACGATACCTACTTGTAGCTCAGGATACTGTTGGAACACCCTCCTCATGTAGATCCTTTTGTACCACATTTTCTAGGCAATTCCAGGAATCCTCCAGCATGAAGGTTCTTGTAGGTCCTAGAAATACCGGTACGCTGTTTACATTCCAGTTGGGTGAGAGGCGTCCTTCTCAGCTCATATATCGAAGTTATGGAAGTCCCCCAGCAGCACCTCCTGCCCTGTATTCTTCAGTTGACCTTGTTTTGCCGCATCCCCTTGACTTTTGTTGAAATCAACTTGGTCGAATCGTCTAAATGTTTAACGTCGTGTACGTGAACCTGCACACAATGTAAAGTCCCTTTCACTGGTGCTTTTGCATGGGCTCATCATATGAACATTCCACAAATCATTATCTTTCCGATAATTGTTTTAATTTGATTCCATGGTGAAGGGGACTGTACATAGACATGCACTGTGTATGCAGTACATTGTTTGTATTCCCGCATTGCCTATGTGCGTTCTTAATCAATGTAAACTTGTATGAATATTTTAGATAAATATCTAACATCTTTTTGTGTATTTATATATCTATCTACAGTTTCCTTTGTGCAGGAAAGAGTTTGAACTTTGAAAGTTGAAACCTACAGCATGTCACTGGGTGATCACAGCTCTCCTATAAATGCACAATTACCACTTTCTGCTCGTCACCCGTACCTCTAATTTTTAGTTCACACGGTAACAAAAGACATGTACAGAACGAGTGAATAATTTAAGTGATAATCAGCCGTGCAGCAGACGATGGTACCGGCAAACAGCTGATGCTGTACCACGAAATTTGACCATCCTCTTCACCACTGATCGGCTCGTTAGCCGCTTTGCCGGTCGGTCACGTCTCTGTTGCGCACTATTGGCAAGTACTGGGCATACACCGGCTCCTGAATGTGCCTGAACCCGCTCCAGTGTTGGTCAAGTCTGGTCTTCAAAGAGCTCACACTTGGTGTCGCCACAACACTCTCAGGCAGATTGTTCCAAGAGTTCAGTGTTGGTCAAGTTTGGTCTTAAAAGAGCTCACACTCGGTGTTGTCACAACACTCTCAGGCAGATTGTTCCAAGAGTTCACAACTCTCACTCTGAAAAAGTAACCCTTCACATTTTTTTGGACTTGCAGCTTCTTCATCCTAGAGCTGTGACCCCTTGTGGGGAGGGCGTCCGCCAGCTCCAGGTAAGGACACTCGACTGAGTAATAATAATAATAATAATAATAAATAATAATAATCAACGGTTTATTGAAAAAATTCTGCAGCCCGAAGGCCTTCATTAGAGAAAGGTAAAGGAACATACAGTGAACATACAGATTAATGTAGGTGTTGAACAGCAAACTCGTAGTGTAGTAACTCCCTCCCAGATGGTGTTAGGTGGAACTCACGTGGTGCAGTAGTTCCCTCAGATGGTGTTATGAGGGACCTGGCGTGGTGTAGTAATTCCTTCACAGATGGTGTTATGAGGGACATGTGGTGTAGTAATTCCCTCACAGATGGTGTTATGAGGGACCTCACGTGGTGTAGTAATTCCCTCACAGATGGTGTGATGAGGGACTTGACGTGGTGTAGTAATTCCCTCACAGATGGTGTTATATGAGTGAGGTTTGGTCCCAGGCCTTCCTATCGTAGACGGATTAACACATCGCTAGTTGTTGTTGGGTCTCACGGGCCGTTATCACTGGGTACCTGGGACCTCACTGTGTGAAGGTTAACTTGGGTAGGACTGTTACTGTTGAGTTGTTCTCACTGACTTAAGCACTGTTCACCACTGTTCACTTCTGTTTAACACTGGTTCCGTTCCTTTCCCAAATGAAGTTGTAACTTCTGGCGAGAACTTGTTGATATTCCGGTGGGGAGGAGGGTTCAGGGGAGGGGGTTGGTATGGGCCACCTTAACAGTTAACCTGGCTGCTCCGAGAGGAGCGCCAGGCACGTCCTGACCCTTCGGTGGTCAAGGATGCCCTCTGATATGTTTATACACCTGAATTTCGTCCCCCTCCTTGCCCGTCTGTATAGTATAAGCTAGGCAGATGCAGGCGTTCTAATCTCTTTGGGTAACTGAGGTGCATAAGTGCACCAGTCTGGTGGCCCTCCTTAGGACAATTTCAACCAACTGACAATCCCTAGCATATCTCGGGGACCAGACGGGGTTACAGTACACCAAACAGGGAAGCACCTCACTCTTGAAGATCGTTACGAGGGACGGACCTTCTAGATATCTGAAAGACTTTCTTATAAAACCTAACAATTTTGTTGCTTGACTCACCTCACAATGGCCCGAGAACTTCAGTTCATTGTCAACGTACACACACAGGTCATTTTCACATTCGGACTCTATTAATGCAGTATTGTACTCAGGCCTCAAAATGCCCATGACATTGGTCAGATTTCAAAAACAATTCAGTGGGGGCTTACAGCGCCTCCCACCCCCCCCCCCCCCCCCCAAAAAAACCACCATCTAGGTGGGTTCACTGCTCGCCATGTTCTCCCACCCACAACTTCTTCGACCCCCCCCCCTTTTGATATTCCTGGATCTTCCCCCTGAATATACTACCCGCTTATCATGGGTACACATGATGATTGCGGGCCATTAATCGCCGCACACTATCTGCGGTCACGAAGTCTCCAATCCATTCTAGAACACTTCCCGAATCCCGTACCTTGCTAGTTTAGTTCAGACGAAGCCTTTCATGGGGTACACTGTCGAAAGCCTTGGCAAAATTTAGGTATACAGTATTGTCTATATTACCGCCCTGCTGTTCCAGAATTTGAGTCGTAGTATCCAGTAGCAGGAGCGTCCCAGGCTACCAGCAAAAAAAAAAAAAAACGTGTCGGCAATCCTTTACAAAGTTGTTGCGTAAATGTTCCGCCATGGCATCTCATATACTGTAATGCTTTCTAGTACTTACACACTATGCTGGTCAGGCTCACTGGTCTATAACTATTCGTGGAGCGACGATCACCCTTCTTAAATATAGGAGTCACATAAGCCATAAGGTCACACTTGGTCTCCCATACTTTTTTATATTTGAAAAAGTCTTGAACGCTATTTTCCTACCCTTACGGTCAATTAGCCATTATATATATATATATATATATATATATATATATATATATATATATATATATATATATATATATATATATATATATATATATATATATATATATATATATATATATATATATATATATATATATATATATTTTATAAAGACCGATTTAATATCATCAAGTGAGAACAAGGGACTTCAGTGTCTCAAAAGTAGTTGATGAAGCATTGAAGCTTATGACGTCATAACTACTTGAGAACAGAATAATGATTTATGCGCTTCACTAACAATCCTTGTGGGTGAATTTAATGGCCAAATCATGAAACATTTATTTTGACTGCGGTATATAATTTCTGACATTTATTAAAGCGAAACAGCTCATCGAAGAACTTGTCAATGCTCGAATATTCCAACACTCCGAACCTTAAATATTTTTATTCACTTCCACTGAAAGTATTTGATGTTTACCATAAATTGTGCCTCGTTTTATATCTATCGAATTATTAATTTAAAATAACACATCAGTTATTTTGTTTATTAATACGATGCTCTTTCTTCAGGAAATTTATTATCGGCTTTTGGATATTTAAGTTTATTTAGGTCGGTGAAAAGAGTGATGGTGGGTGGAGGGATGTGAGACAAGCGACTGAGTAATATCCCTGACACTGTTCCTGGCGAGTCTTGGGGTTTGGGGTGTTTTATGTGTTATTCTCCGTAACTGAGGAGACATATGGCTGACAGAGAGGAGAGGCGTGTGGGGCAGGATGTGGAGGAAGAGATGGAGGATGAATTGAATGATGACATGGCAGTAGAGATGGATGAAGGTGATGGAGGACAACAGGGAGGAGAGGATGTGGCTCAAGGGGATGTGGTGGAGGAGCAGCCACAGGAGCTGGTCTTGATGGAGGAGGTGCTTGTGGATGAAGGTATGTTGGCAACTGTTATTAGTGTTAAATTTGGTACAATATTTGGGCTTTTACACCATACAGGTAGGGTGTGGGCTGAGCTAATTGGTCCAGCTTATTGACCTCACCCAGGTTATGATTGGGTCACAAGAGGGTGAAGGTAAACATATAAAGATAAAAGATCAACTTTTACTCATGCACCAGTCTATGTTTGGGTATTAAAAATATATTTTCCCGATATTTGATGAGTTTCGAACGAATTTGATATTATTTTCCACCGGAAATCACTAGATTTTGCACCCCAACAATAATGGAGGAAGAGCCTGAGAAATCGATTTTTTTGGGTGGGGGAGAAAACAAAAACGAATCATCTAACCTAACAAAACCTAACTTAACCCCTAGCTGGGGGCTCTGCCCCCAGACCCCTGGTAGGCCTAGCTTATACTAACCTAAATGTCTCGGTTGTTAAAAACTTCTGGGGTGCGCCATGTCCGAAAGAACAATACCTAAGAAGTGGATACGCAAGAAGTGGATAGAATGATCGTCTTTCTCGTAAAACTTTGCAATAAACTTAAAATAATCGTAGGAGCACAAATGACAACCAACTTCCACCATGGCCATTGTCAGACTGGTCAATGAAATTACCTAGGCTGCTTCCTTTGAAAAAAATCAAATATGATTGGTCGAAAAAATAATTAGCGTGATGATATCAAGACATCATTGGTCACGACTGGATGACGTCAGTCAATATTGTGCATGCGTGATGAGCAGATAACATATCCTCAAGGTAAATAAGGCATGGCGACGCTTGTGACTGAGCGAATTTAATATTATTGAAAAATTAAATGTCTCGGTTATCCTTAATTTCCGGCTGAAATATCACAGAAGAAAAAGGTCTTAGAATTGTCTAAACATTATGAAATACATATTAATAACAACGAGAGAAAGACTGGTGCACAAAGAAAAATTTACCAGGGTAATACGTAACAAGAATGGCCTGTCCTTAGCATCAACCTGATGAAATTTTTCCATTGACGTTAAAAGCTTTCTTGCCTTAAGAAAAAGGTAAATATTCGTCCATTGTGTCTTCAGGTTTTGGTATGAGAATAGGTTTTTTAGTGTTTTTTTTTTTTTTTACTCAAAACTGGGGTCTTTTTATATTAGTGCACCGTTCTATCTCGTGGTGTTAGAAATATTTTATTCCGAATATTTAGACAATTCTGACATTTTTTTTCTATAATATTTTCGTCGGAAATTAAAGATAACCGAGATGTTATTTTTACAATATTATTATAATTTGTTTGTCACAAGTCGTCCCATTCCTTGTTTATCTCGGGCGGAGAAGCTCTTTCCCCTCAGTTCCTGCTCCTGTGTGTTCATTTGTTCACTTCTTCGTCTACAGCACATGTGTGGTGTGGGAGTTCTTATTGGCTAATGGAAGTAGAGGGTGAGGGTAACATTATTCCTGGGGAGCGCAGGGCGAGGGGGAGACTTATTATTGGGTAAGAGCTCTTTGTCTTAGCCAATGAGCAATGTATGGGTGCATCAGGAGGGAAATTTTGTATTTCAGTACCAGATATGGCTGAACAGGTGGAAGAGCTGTGTGGAAATGGTCAACACAATTATTTTATGTCTATTGCCGAGTTCCATCAGAAAAATATTGAGGCCATTGCATTTTTTGGAAAACACGGTGTATTACCGAACAACACGAGTTGTCCGAATTGTAAAAATCAGATTAAGGCAAGATGTGGGGGCATGAACAAGGGGGGTGGGAGGGTGTTGGAGCCCCCCATTATTAGGTTAGGTTTGGTTGGTTTTTGGTGATTGTCTATTTTTTTTTTACACAGAAAAAGGTGTAGGTTAAGTTAGCTTATATTTATTTCGGTATTAGAAATATGTTTGTTCCTGTGGTTTTGATGACCAGTATAGTGATGCTGTACTGGTTGTTAACTTACTTTTAATAAATTGATATGATAATTAACTTTATTAATAAATTGCACTAGTTATTATATTGCTCTAGTACACGTGTTTTGGCTGATACTAGTAGTATAGGTGTAATAATTATTGCAACTCTGCTATTCAGAGCACTTGAAGAATTAGCCAGAATACATATACCCTGTACTGTAAGCCCTTATATCAGTACTACCTTTATACTGCACTGGTTTGATAAATACTACAAACAAGTTTTCTATTTAGCCCACATAATATACTTAAAACCATATGTACACTTGTTTCAAAAAGTAATTTGTGTGAGACAATATGACACATCTTATGAAGGATTTTAGCAACCCCAACTGAAGTCGCAATGTTCATTTGGAAATTCATCGGACCCTCCATAAAGATATCTTTTAGAGAGAGAGTACAGTCAAAAGTCCTGTTGGTCTCTCTGCTTCATGATCCCTGAGATTTAAACTTAGTGACCGGGGAAATGCACTTATGTCTACTGCATCAATTTCATGAGTCGTAATCTCAAGGTTTATGAAGATGGCAGGAGAAGAGACAGGACTTTTGACTGTGACTGTATGTGATCATTGGACAGAACATGGACACAACTTTTGTCTGACTGTACATCCTCAGTTTTTCCTGTGGTATTGTGGTGCACAAAACAATGTTTTCCGAATGACATTCACACCCTTCGTATCACAATAGCTGTTTTTGCTTATGACATCATTTTATGGTAGTCAGACAATCTTCTAATCTATACATTGTTAATATTGTAAGGTTGACATCAGTAATTTTATGATAAATTATGTATGTTATTAAGTACAATATGCCATTTACAGGTTCTGTAGATGCCATAAAAAATAGAAAAAAAATAAAGAACTTTAGGTTATGTCTGTGACACTGCTATGCTTGATTTTGTAGCCTTAGCTCCTGTTATTTTTTTTATTTTCTTTTTTTTTATAACTTGGACCCTGATCCTAACCATTGACATTTTCAGATACATGTATAGCCTGTTCTGGTATTTCAGATGCTAACAGTTGGGCAGAATACGAGAGTTGTGAAGAATCAGATGGTCCAGATGGTAATGGTAGTGGCGACGATGGCTTTGGTGAGCAGTACGACACTACCCTACCTTCTAGACATGTTGTGAGTAGAAAGCTCCATCTAGAATCCTTATCAAATTGTCTTGTAATGTTTATCAGATAATGTACTGTAACTTGTTATAGAAAACTCTGTAAGGCGAACTAAAAAGATTCTTTATCAGGGTTTTGAACATACTGTAAATGTTGGCACTGATAATTAATTTTTGAGTAATTAGTTACATTTGTTATTACATAGAAATTTAGTACAGTTCCTTACTGCTGTTTAATTATAAGTTTGAACATGTTATTATTTAATAGTTTTAACATTTACTGGGATATTATTTCTCAATACTCTTAGGAGAGGTGATTAATTATGTTATTGGAAAGTTAGTAGTGCATACACTTTTTTTATGTTCTGCAGCATCTTAAGAGTTTCAGGAGTTTTGGTGCAAAATTATTGGTTTACAGTATACAGTACTGTATTAAAATGTTTACTGACATCTAATACTGACTAAAGTAACATTTAAGCCTATAGCATATATTGTTCAAGACACTCTTCATTTTGCAAGACTGGTACAATACGTATTCAGACAATCCTTGGTTTAATGTAAGGCAAGAGGTTTATTTTTATGTTGTGAAACTTCAGGAACTAGATCCTTCACATGTATATGAACTTTGATTTTGTTATGCATTCTAGTACCTTGGCGAGACAGAAGAGTTACGGGGTCGCACTGTACAGGAGGAAAACGACTATGTTACAATTCCATTGTTGATGCACAGCTCCCTGATGAACCTGGTATTGGTGCCTTCACAAACGCTCCCCCTCACCATCTTCCATCCTTTGCACATGTCAATGCTTCGCAACGTCATTTCTAAGGATCGCACTTTCGGCATTGTTCATTCAAAGTAAATTTCTAATTATATTTTTATTGTTTATTGTATGATATATTTATGATGAAATGAAGTTTAGGACATTCTCCTATATTCAGGGGCATAGCCAAGATGTCAGTAAGGGGGAGGGGAGGGGCACCAGTGGTGGAAATGGGTCAGGCAAGCGCAGCAAGGCCTTACATTTTCAAAAAAATTTTGAGACCATAAGAAATGGATGCAGTATTTGGACATATCCTAAGGTCAATATTAAGTACTTCATCTGACGGGATGAAGTACTTATTTACTACTAATAATAGTAACAGTAATAATAAACATTTTACAGTACTGTATTTATAGCTGATTTTTATGATAATTTGTCTTTAAAATAAAGCATATATAGTACAGTATTACTTATAGATTACATGTTGATATTTAAATAAATATTTTGAATAACCCAAAACTCTTTTAGATGAACAACGAAATTTATAAAGGAGCCTAAATTGAGAAGTAGTTGCGTCCCCCCTCCCCCCATTTCCACTATTGGGGGCACACTTTGAAACATAGCAGCTGTGCAAATTGTGATTTTTTTTCCAAAAAATAAAACACATCACTGCTATTATATATACTGTATATTTTTTGTTTGCATACTCTCTAGGTTCCAATTAAATTATACAGTATCTAATTATAATAGACAGGAGGACTAGATGGTTGGCGGTTATTAACTTAGAAAAATATTGCAATTGGTAAAAACACTAAACTAAAAAAAAAAGGAACAGAAAACTATTGGGTAATGAATCTATAATTAAAATACATTTGGTAAAATCAGTTCTATGAAGGCTGCATCAATAATCACTCATAAATTAACAGCATAATGTGCAAAAACGTAACAGGTAGCAAAACCTCTGTAATTGGCAGTAGGTAATGTTGACTAAGGTTAACTTCAAAAAACTAATACATAACACTTAAAGTTATAACTGACTTACCTTTTTGGCTGCAGGGTGAAAGATATTGTTAATTTTCTGTTGATTTGGAATCCTCCTCTTTATTTCCTTGATCTGTTGCTGACAAAATGAAGGATGCTACAGTGCTACATCCAAAGACAGCTCAGCAAGTGATATTACCACAAATCAGGTTTTCAAGTAACTTGAGGCAAATGTAGTGGCAAATATTGCAACCTGCAGACCTGTCAGGAGTGACCCTCCCCACCCACAATCAATCACAGGTCACTAAACAGCATTTGAGCCCCACCTACCCCCAACCCACACACCTGTGACCCTTACCCCCTCTTAACACACTTATATCCCACCACAAATTCATGTCCACCAGATTGTTTTTTGTTTTTTACGGGGATTAGCCCACCCGGACACAGGTCGAACGACCCACAACAGACCCCCTCATAACCCATTCCCCCAATATCCAATATATATTGGCATCAATTATGTATACAGTACAGTACCACTGTTCAACATTAAGTATTAAATAACATAAATCATAAAGGGTGGGCACATACCTGGGTATGCTACTGCCTAAATTCACAGTTTTGCAGCCAAGGGTTGATAAGAGTAAGCAATTTGTATGAAGTCAGATCTAGCACAGTAGCTTGTCTTAAAAACTCGTGTAATATACAAATTCCCAGAAAATGAAGTAGATAGGAGATAACATTTGTCTTGCCTCTTTTACCCCCACAAGATCTTTGATTGCAGTACAGTACGTATGTGACTTTGTACCTCTGAGATGATACCTGTGTTGACTTTTTCATAAGTTCTACTGGAGTGGAAGGAGCTGGTCTCTTTAGGCAGTTTAGAACTTTAGACCACCAATTTACATTTACATTACAAATGTAGATTTAGTTTTTCCACTTGGTTAATTTTTTTTTATTATTATTAATTATATACATATATATATATATATAATTTTTTTTTCCCAGAATATCTCAAGATGGTAATTCAGAAATGGCCAAGTATGGGACAACAGCAGAAATCTATGAATACCAAGAGGAAGATTTTACAGATTCATTATCAATCAAGGCCAAAGGTCGCCAACGATTCAAGGTTATTTCAACTCATCGAGAAACCACTGGGTTAGTACAGTATTAAAGATTATGAAAATTGGGTTGTTCCTTAAAGAAGAAATACCATATGGTTAACCAGTTATTTCTTCTAAGTATCCAAGAATATTTGTTTTATATTTATTTTAACTTGTCAATGGCTGCTTCTATTAATTTATTAAAAAGATTTTTTTATAACCAGATTAATTGTGGCAAAAGTGCAGATTTTGCCTGAGATTCGAATGGAAAATCCATTTGAAATGATGCGTCTGCAGTCCTTAGACAAGCTTACGCTGCCTCGGCCCCAAGAGGCGTATTGTCACGTAGCACAAGCGAGAGACTTAGGTAAGATATAATCACTTGGGCTGAATAATGTTTTCTCTCTTCTAATGGCTTATTTGCCTGGACAACTTTTTGTTTATCTATTTAATTATTCATTTATTTCTTTATTTCTTTATGGAAGGAATTAGTGACATTTCCTATGACAGATGCACCTGTTGGCAGATTTACTCAACAATTGTTTTGTGATGTTATGGTAGGACTTTGACTCAAAATTAAAGATATGAGGATGATAAGTTCATTAGAGGTGTTTATCAAAGAGTAAGCACTTGTCATTGTACTTGCTTTAGATTTTACCACAGTGGTTTATTGATTTGTACCCCTTTTTCCTTGATATATTTCCTTATTTCCAGTCACAACTCAGAATGTGCCTCCATGTGTCCTGCTACTGTACATAGTGAATTTTTGTGTGTGTGAAAATTTTTTTCCATTTAAGAGTATTTTCCTAAGTACTGCACGAAAGTACTGCACGTAGAAGTCCTTGCCTGACCATACACCACTTGGTCAGCGTATGGGAAATCTCACTTTAAAACTTGTCATGTACAGTGCAAGTTATCTGCATTATGTAGAATAACAGTACGGTAGTTACTGACAATATATTTGGTAGATATGCTCTGATAAAAATTATTTGCCTTATCCCTGAATTCTTTAAACTTTAGGTAATCTGATGCTTACTTCGTTCAAACACTTCAGACTATCTCTGCAATGCAACCTTCCCTTTTCATGGAAAGATTAAAAAATTCATCTGACCCCAAGGAAAGTAAATTCATCCAACCCTTGATATTATTTGCTCATTTCCTTCATCTCAGCAAGATCAAAGAATTTTTAAATGGTAATCAGTACCTACTCACATTCTCAATTAATGAAAAGACACAACTTTAACAAATTACCTACTTGACAGTCAACATAATAGCTTCTGTAGTGGGTGATCAACTGCTGATGTTCTGTCATGCCTCACTCATTCAGTGGACTGCAATGGTGAAACTCCAGCAGTAGATCTTGATATTTTTAAAGCATTTGGCAATTGTGCATTGATTCTCACATGCAAACTTGCCCTTCCATGGTCTTTCTTTCTTAGTCGCTTTAATTTCTTTTTTCTGTCTGGCCACAGTTTGTGCAGCTCTTCATTTCTGTGGACATGACTCAGTCCTCCATAGGTCCTTTACTCTTTTTACAAGTCCAGTGTTTCAGATATATCCATCCCATAGGTGAAGTTGTTTTAACTATAAAAGATGGAATGTATGGCTTAACTTCAAAGACTGATGATTGCTCTCACCTTCAAGATCGTCATTATGGAAGGACAAAGGGAAATCTTAATAGTCCTGTTATAAATTCCACTTTTAAGTGACCAAGTTAATACCAGTAGAATCCTTCTCAGCACTTCCAACGGATGATGTTTATTTATTTTTTTTTAAGATATCGTAATACAGTACTGTACAGTATTTGGTCATATGGCAGAGAAGTTTTGTTAGGTGGTTTGCAGCTTGATGTATTGGTAACATTTATTTACAGCTTCAGTTCGAACGCCCAACTCGTGGCGTGTAAGGGGCTGGAATGCTTGGTTAACCCCCTGGCCGTCGTGGGTGTATAACCAGTACGATGATCTACTCTTGGCACAGAGAGTCGTAAACGAAATAAAAAAAAGTACTATGATCCAACCCAATATGCTCAAAGTAAGTTATAGAAATCAGCTTCTCTGTACCAATGTACATGACGATTAAATCTGCTTCTCATGAACTCTACACATGAAACTCATCAAGAGTTTGTGTGTTGTCTTTGACCAAACCAAATCTCACCAAATCTTATCGAAGTACTGTAGTTTTCAAAATGATACCCATACTCAGGTAGGTGGACTTTTATGTGCATTGTTCATGAACTTATATTTCATTGCTATTGAGTTATTAAGTTATAATCCTGTGACTATCAGAATCCATGTGGTTTTCACGTAGTACACCCTGATTAGAATGACCATTTCAACTTTCACTTTGTAGTCATGTACTGTACTTTAGTTAGGAATTACTATAGAAAATATTGTATTGGTGGGTCTTTGTTACAGCTTCCACGTGATCCCCAAGATTTATCACACTGGGCGGCTATCAACCTTCCCCTAGATGACAGCCATCGTCTAGCCCTTCTTGGTCTCAATACTCCCACACAGCGCCTTAGATACATTCTTTCAGTCATCTCTAAGGTCAGGAAAAGTTTCTAGATAACTTCTGAAAATAATTGTAATTTAGTGTCATTAACATGCTATTTTTAGCAGTGTCATTCACCTCTATAAATAGCTACCAATTTGGACTGTTTGTCTTGAGAGACTTTTTTGATTAGCTTGTGTTGGTGCAGTGTGTGAACATTTCTGGGTACTAAGACTTGTCTAAGAGGGACTGGTATTTTTTTTCATAACTCATACATTGTGTATCTAAAACATTTTCACATTTCAATGCAGTATACAGTGTAAGTCATATATACTGTACGTACCGAGAAAATATAGATTATAAGCAAACAGTTTTCACTTGGGTGTCGTCAATAGTGTATAAACGTCAGCTATCTTAAATTTTCAAATTACTTTATACTTTCATTTCAATGCAAAATGCCAATTATTTTATATGTTGAAATTTTAAAATTTAATTATGTTTTCATTTCAGTGCAAAATGTTAACTTGTATTCAGTGCACTGAAGTAATAGGAGACACTGCAGATATTTTTTCTATGTCAGTAGAAGGACCTCAAGGAACATTTGTAAACCCTGGTGGTTATGTGCATGAGATGCTGACACTCAGTAAAGCTTCCAACCTTACATACTATGGAAGACCATCAATAGAACATTCATGGTTCCCAGGGTAAGTCATGTTGCAGTTTCCTATTTTTGTATATTCATAGATTTGCAGTTACATTATGGTAAGGCACTGTCCATCATCTGTCTTCTTTAAATTTTAGTTTCCATACCTCTTGTGTATGCAACTGGTGTGAGAAGTGTGAAGTTGTATGGCAGTGAAACATGGGTGGTTAAATAGGATGACAAACAGGTTTGAGTGAACTGATATGAGAATGGTGAAATGGCTGTGCTTGTAACACTAAAAGACAGGAAACCTTGTTCAAAGCTAAGAGGGCAGCTGGATATAGAGAGTACAATATTGGCAAAATTTGGCATAAAGGTAGGCTGAGACGGTTGGGCATATGGAAACAATGGAGGAGACCAACTGCATTAAGAGATGCAATGATGGAGAGCTAGAGGTAGGCCAAGAAGGATATGGAGAGGTTGTAAGAAATGAAATCAAGAGTTAATAACCTTACAAGACTGGCTACAAGGGACTGCAGCATTTAGAGTTGCCATCTGGTAATCACCTTTCTTTCCTAAATTTTAAATTGATCCAGAATTTCTTAAACTTGACTACCGGTACCACACAGTCAGTTGCATATCTCCACATTTCATCACACAGTACAGGTATAGACCCTCAAATATAAGACCCATGGGACCAAAACCAAACCAGGTTTGAGGATTTAATGATTTCCGAGTCCTCAGTCATTCATATGTTATCTTTGGCCTACCAGTAGATGTTAAGTGTTGTTGTTTTTTAAACACCATCTGTTATTAAAGCAATTAAAAGAAAAGAAGAACATTCATCTGAGCTACTTGTGTGAGTGTGAAAGTAACACTTGATGTAGCCACGGACAAAAAAATTAACCTAAACCAGAGGAGAAAATAACTGGTTTTGGAAAATCTTTGGTTTTGAAGGTCTATACCTGTACAGTCCTACCATTCCTGTAAAGTGTATTATGTTATATGACAATGAAAATTGTTTTTGGCCGAACAATGTACGTATTGTATATACTGTCATTCACTTCACAGATATGCCTGGGCGATTGCCAACTGCTCAAGCTGTCACAGTCACTTGGGATGGAAATTTACAGCTACCAAGCGTAAACTTAAACCACAAAAGTTTTATGGTGTGACTCGTAAAGCAGTTAAAGCTAAGCTGGTGTGGGATGGCGATGATGGCAAGATGCGTCATGTAATATAGGCCTCTTTTATGAAGTTACTGCTTCTAGGAAAATATATACTAACATGTACAATATAGTAAACCAGATCTAGTCGACATCTATTACCTCTGTTTCAACTGTACTTGGTAAGTTAATGCTGCCTGGATATTGTCACAAGTATATAAATAGTGAAGTAATATCTCCGTTAGCCGGAATCCCTCAAACCTGGAACTCTCTGATAGCCGGAATTGAAATTTTCTCGGAAAATCGTTCCCAAAGCCGGAATTTTACGAAAGATTCCGGCTTTGGGAACGATTTTGTGAGGGGCACATTTTCCGGAAAATTCCAAGAAAATTTTCCCGATACCCGGAAAATTCCAGGAATGAGGGATATTTTTGCGGGTTTGAGAGATGATGTAATGGGCAATTTCTGGAACTTTGAGAACATTTTTCCGTTACCCGGAAAATTCCGGGGATGAGGGATTTTTTCCGTCTTTGAAAGAGTCGTCTCGTTACCCGGAAATCTCTCATTCCAGGAAATGCTCTGCACCAATTGTTCTGGCTAATGGGGATATCACTGTACATTTTTAACCTATATTTAATGTTTCATGTAACCATTTGTTGTGATGCAATCCACATTGTTTTTGGTTACCTTGCTTCATTTCCCATTATTTAATCAGTTTGACAAATTAGTAATTTACTCACTATACTGTATATCATAATATTGTTAACAGACTATATAATAATGTACTGTATGTAGAAAAAGTTTAGGATATACTTCATGGCTTTGTGTTGTGCAATTACAGTATGCAGAAATACATCATTTATAAAGCAGTAACAGTAACCTTTAGCTATCATACATTTACTGACAATGAACTGGTTGAGAGGCCTGCAGGGTGCACTGTGATTATATATTTTTGGTATGAAGAAGCATTAGGGGGCTTCATTGATTAAAGGGAAATGGATTTTGTTTAGGTAAAATCTAGTACAGGTTACATTCATGTGATGTGAATTTTTCTTAAATCACTTTAATTTTTCATCATGACGGCCGTTAAGTTAATGTGATGGAAAGGTACCCATTGGTGTTGTCATTCTTGTGTCTGTTTGTTAATGCAGTCCTTCGGGATATGATAATTCCTTCATTTCACTTTAGCTTTTCATAATTTTTAGTTTGTATGTTCTTTACCATAATATTGTGCATGGTACTGAATGTTGGTGATCTGTCATGATGAACTATGTTATACAGCATTTTGCAATACAGTCCATACTTCACTTTAACGACTAATTGGTACCACGAAAACGGTCGTTAATTTGGTGAGTATGGTTTACATGCTAAATGGGTCAATTGGTACCAGCCCTCAGACACTTTCACCCCCTATAACCCCCACAAAAAATTACAACCACTTATTCACACACATTAATATTGCATGTAGAGTTAATAACTAATAATAACTAACTATTAGACACTCCTTGAACTGCTTAATGAGACTGTTTGCTGTCATCACAGGCAAGGGAGTGGTGTTAGTGCCCCCTGACCCCACACTGTGTTGCTTCCCCAGCACCACCACCAACTGATTCTTCAGCCTCAAAGCCAGTGAAGTCTAGTGGTAAATCATCTAACAGATCACACCATAGGTGGAGAGGTTACGCAACACAATCACATCATAAGTGAGTAGGTTACACCACACCACCTGTTCACACACACTGATCAAAACAAACCACCCCGCTCGCTGACGTCATCAAGATGGCCACCCAGAGTGACTATCAACATGCGCTACTGATCGTTATTGTATTGAAATGTATCGTTAATATGTTGAGGTGTCGCATTTCATTACTGTTGTTATTGTGATGAATCAATGTGAAACTTGTTAAAGTGAAGTATGTACTGTCGACTAATTATAGGTTGTTGGACACTTACTTTGACATCACATCTCGACAAATGCATTTCAAAATGTCATTATGTTTATGACAGTGGGTTCAGTAAAAAGTAAAATCATAATATAAAAACAACATATAAATAAAAAATCTTCTTACTTGAAATATCACTTTCTGTCTCCTCTTAGTCACCAACATCCTCAAAGCTCAAAGAAAAAGTATGAAACTCAAAGTGAAAATGTAATGTTTCTTACCTCAGTTAGTCAGTTAATTAATTTCCTCTGCAAATTTTTACTGTATTTCTTGAGTGTTTCTTTTTACTTCACCTCCTTCACCCTCTTACTACACTTCCTCCATGTTTCTTACTTCACTCCCACATTTCTTCCTTTATGCATTGTGTTTATTACTTCATTTCATGCACTAAAAATACAGTAAAATAAACAGACTTTAGTGCCAGTACAATAATATAATAAATTCAATTCAGTACTGTAAGTTTATTCACAAATATCAATATAAATACAGATTTAGCTATAAATAATAGGTACAGCAATTTCTCTATGGTAATAACATCATCAGTACAAGTACAGTTATTTCCCTGTAGTGATAATATCATCAGAAACATCCATACGTACATATGCAGATCTGAGTATTAAGTACATTTACTTCCCTCTGGAGATAATACCATCAAAAACATTAGTACAAGTACATATCTCTGTAAAAAACATAGGTATAGGAATTTCCAGACAGTGACACTGACATCAGTATACAGGTTTAGGTAGAAATTACAGGTACAGTAATTACTATGTGGCAAGAATATCAAGAGTATCTTTTTTTGGTGCCTGAACCTTGAGAGAAGTACTGGTAGATATGTATCAAAAACTATTTGGTTAATCATTTTCATTTGATAATGGAATCAGCGTGCTTCACAGTCCTCTCGCACACAAACTACAGTATATATACATGGGGTCCCCGTATTACGAATGGGTTCCGTTCCTGAGGCCGTCCTTAAGTCGGAAATGTACGTACAGTAAGTCGGAACACATACCCTATGTGCACTGTATCATAGCCCAAGTCCTTTTATACATCTCGAATCACTTAATTTAAGGGAAAAGAAGAATTGAATGACAAAATACCATTTCTTTTGTAATGAGTACCTTTGGTTCTGGAGTTTCACCTTCCTCTTCATCCTCTGACAAAATTTGCTTCTCCAGTTTAATCAGGTCCTCATTGCTAATTCTTCAGCATGAGACCCAAGCAAATGTGTGACATCATTCTAATGAATATCAAGCTGGAGTTGGTTCCCAAGGTCTACCACTGTCTGTGTCACTTTCCCAACATCATTTTCAGAGCCCCTAAAATCGTGGACAAACTGTGGGCAGTGTTTTGTCCAAACACTATTTGCCTTTACCTTGAACCTATTAAGCCGTCCCCTACTAGCAACAAAGTCAGCATGCAAGCTTCTCACTTTTTCCTGAATCACAGCTAGAGTTAAGAGGCAAATCCCATTGATTTTGATCATCCACCCATATCACTAACAATCTTTCCATTTCACTTACCAATCCACTTCTTTGTTTTGTTATCACAGTTTAGTGCATTGGTATAGATTCTTTTACATATTCAAGAATTTTCTGTCTTTCAAAATTGTTCTGACCGTTGAACGAGACTGAAACCCAACACTTTCCCGATCACTGAGGGTGTTTCTCCTTTTTCAGAACGTTTAATTACGTCAACTTTCACTTCCACTGTAATTGTTTTCCTTTTCTTGGATGCACTACTATCACTTGCATCAGGTTTGCATTTGGGAGCCATGATGAGGGCCAAAAACAAAACAAAAACAGTTTGCACTTGATGACGCACATTAAGGCAGTGAGGGTAACACGTACTGACGCTCCCGCTCCATCACGTGGGTGACTGGGTGCGACGCATCACTCCCCACTCACCGCTCCGCCTCCCCTCTACACCTCGCAAACTAGTTATCATACGTAACAGCTACGAACCATTGTACTGGTGTCAGATTTTTTAAATATTGACCTTATGGGACCATGTTCGTATCAGCGGGCATTCATAAGTCGAACGTTCGTAAGTCGGGGACCCCCTGTACTGTACAGAACTTACTTGTCTTGACTATACTGCTCAGTAGCAAACCATCTCACTGGGACAGTAAAAGTACCATTATATAATCGAATCTAAAATTAGTAATGAATCTCCAAGAAGCACCATTCAAATTAACATCAGTTATAGTAACACCCAGATTGAAGAAAACAAAATTGCCAATGGCATACAAAGCAGTAAATACATAACATGAGTTCTATGAAAGACAAGTGGAATGACAGCTCTTGAACAGATGTTCAATTTTTTACTGACTTCAAGAGCTGTGGTTCTTGCAGAAGTCAGAGCTGCCAAAAATTGTAGATTCTAAAGAATCGAAAACCATTACAAGACTGTAGATAAAATGAAAAAGTTGCATAACTGTGTGATAGCTGCACAACAGCAACTCACACAAGAAGTTATTGCTGCCGTGTATTTGAGTGAGAGTTGCAAATTATAAGTACATGAGTAAAGAATATGAGTATCAGGGATATAAGACAAAGATGTGTGGGTTGTAGAATACTGTACATTAGTGGATAAAAAGAGTGACAGAAGAAATAAAACTGAGTTAAGCTTATCTTGATGAACCACCTGAGTGCTATGAAAGACTCAAGGATTTTGTTCAGGCTAGCACCAGAGGATTTTAATCAGATGTTTAAAGAAGATTTAAGGGTGAGAGTTGAAGATTTAAGGGTGAGGGCTGAAGATTTAAGGGTGAGGGCTGAAGATTTAAGGGTGAGGGTTGAAGATTTAAGGGTGAGGGTTGAAGATTTAAGGGTGAGGGTTGAAGATTTAAGGGTGAGGGCTGAAGATTTAAGGGTAAGAGTTGAAGAAAACTGAGAGACTTGCAGAGTAAAGCTCCCAATGACAATACTGCCATGTGACCTCGGAACTCCCAACTCCACGAACAAGTAACACAATATCTTAAATGATTATTGAATATCAAGAGTAACCGAGAACTGGTCAATGGCTGCCAACACAAGCTGGTAAAGCAAGTGAATACAGCAGTGTTTGGTATTCACAGAGCTGGCTGATACTCCTAAAAAATATATCCTAAACTGCCTCATTAGATATTTTTCATCAAGTTGGGTGAGGTAGACATACTTAGTGAAGCAGAAGATATACACTAAGACTGTAAAATTATATAATGTACTATCCGATATCTTTTACATATTGCCTTACCGGGTACGCAAAGTTGTGAATGTGAGAATGATGAATTCAGAAAATCAAATCCACATTTTTTTTTTATATATTTCATCTCCAAAGATACTTTATATCATTCACACAATTGTCATCCAATATTTTGAAAAGGAAAGCGTTGTACGTATTAGAATAATTATTTTTTAAAGGAAAGCAATATACTGTATATTTTATAGGAATACCATTGCAAGCCTTTCAACAAGTGCAATACCATTAAGTTCCTATGAATATTTTTAACACTTGTGCTGTTGAACATCTCTCGCATATCAGTATTGTCTGATCTATTGATTTCTTATAACTCTGATCTTGTCAAAATAATGTGAAACAACTCCAGTGTGATCTAAATACTGTACAGTATACAGAAGTGGATCCAGGAATATCAGGGGGTCCAAGAAGTTGTGGGTGGGGAACATGGAAAGTATAGTGAGCCCACCCAGCTCTGGGGTGTGTATTGTGAGGCCATTTTGAAATCAAGTGCACTTGATATTAGGATATATTCTGAAGTCAGTAGTAATTACTTTTTACAATACAAAAATGCTTGAATACAATACAGTACAGTACTGTATTGTATCAAAAAAAGTATTTTAATTTTATGACGAAAAGGGGTGGGGGGGGGGGGTCCGGACCCCCATGGATCTTCCCCTGGTATACTGTAATTGTCTATTTCAAGGAGTTCATCACTTTACTGTACTTTAAAATCTAATGCATAATTCAGCTGTAAAGAACTAAAATTTTTATAAAAGACTAAGGCATGAAAAAATTGAAAATAAATTATCCCCATAATCCAGAGGAAAAATTTTCTATTCATTATTGCCTATAATTTCATGACTTAGGCATTCACCAAATCAACCTACACCCCACAAGTACTCTCAAGCAGAGTACACTTTTAAGTACAGTAGAAATATTAATTACTATGCAAAAAATAAAGACAAATTATAAATAATTAGCACCATCATTCTGCTCAAATACACTGCATATTTACTTTTGAATCCAAAAATAATAAAAACACATTCAGAGGCACAATATACTATTTTTTGTCAGTTAACTTTTATGCCCCAGGTAATGTAAGACCCGCCGCCACACCCCTTACGTGGGCCTATTTTGGCAAAAAAACATTTTTTTAAATTCACAGTTGAAAACTGGTATTTCAGGCATAAAATTAGTGCAGTCACTCCAAGCAAACTGGCGAGGTGGGAGGAGGGAGTGAGCGCATTGTCTGTATCAATATCCTCACCGCTAGCTGCCTCAACAAACTCTACATCATCTGGGTCTGTTTCCTCCTCATCACTTTCTTCGTCACCCAATGCTATATCAATGCCACTCTAATCAAGCAACTCTTGATGAATAACTGTCGAGGGGCGAGGCAAGTCATGAGACATCAAAGGACGTGCATCCATCATGATAGCTGGTAGGTAACTGGACCACTAGACTTGAGACAAAGATTACATGCAAGTTGAGTTGCCAAGTAAATAAATCCCTTACAAAGTATTTCGTCCCGCCTGGACACTCAAAGTATGCCACGAACATTAAGAACATTGAGGAATGTCACTCAGGGTCGCCTTAGTGAACATAGAGGAACATCACCCGGGATTTAAGGGTTAAAATACAATGTGATTCCAGGTAAAGGAAAAATATTCTCGCAAGTTCCAGAAATTGCACTTTACATCATCTCTTGAACCCGGTAAAATATCCCCCATCCCCTGAATTTTCCGAGTACGGTACTGGAAAATGCGCCTGATTTTCATCTCTCAAACCCAGATAAAAACCAACCCCATCCCTAGAATTTTCCGGAATTTTCCAAATACAGTACATATGCTGTGACGTCACATGGAGGGGAATGAGAGTGTGGCTGGTCGCAATTTCAGCTCACTGCCTCAATACATACATTCACCTCCCACACATACACACCCATATGCTCTTCATTTTTCTCATTTTATAGTTTTATATATTTCCTTTATTTATAAGCCACATTAGAGTACTGTATCGTAATGATGCACACTTGGAACACAGTAATTCCAGTTTTCTGACTTCCCTCCCAGTGGGTCGAACATCGCTAAACTGAATTTTGACCAATCGTTAGACAAGAACGGGTGTTAAAATTTTTATATCGCTAAGTGCTTGAACGTTAAAGGAGGGATACCTGTACTGAATACTCCTCACAGTACCTCAACTACAGTATATGCTCCACAATAAACATCTGCAAGCCTTGATTGTCAAGGCAAGTCATCACTCTTAAATAAAAAAAGTAACACTTACAGAAGTCACTGCCAACAAAATTACCCATTTTCAAACAGCTGCCTTAAGTATACAGTACACTTTAACTTTTGTACATGTTGTGACAACTGTATTGTGATTTTTTATATCTAGCAACTATGAGCAAAATGTTCTATCATAAAGGCACTGTCCCCGGAACCATTCCATCATTAGAGTATTTTCTGCAGTAAGACCACTCATATTAGCAGCATCATGAGCATGATCTGGATCAATTGGCTGAGGCACAACACGACGGCAGGCCCCTCTTTGCTGGTGCTCTAGGTAAGCACGAGAAAAGTAAGCCAGTTGTTCTTTTGAGAGGCATGGCAGACATAGCTGACACTCAACTTTGTTACAGTCATTACCACCATTACGACAATTTGTGGCACAGTGGTCAGGAAATACTACCAAGTCCTTGTGGGCAACCTGCATTTCATACTCATCGGTTGAACGTGAAGCCAGGCTGCTGGAGTGTATAGCGCGACCCACACCAACCAGACAAAGCAGATTGTATACCACTTGTTCATACAGGAGACGGTTTTCCTTGAAGTGAGCTGATGACAGGTTGGGAGACATATTTGCCTCCATTAAGTGAACCTTGAGCTGGTCATCAATGACAAAGTCAAATCGCATCATCTCAAAAAAATTGGATGAGTCGGGGTAGTGAGATGTGGCCTGTATCAGTGCTGTCTCTTTACCATAAAACACATTGCGAATGGCATCTCGCACAGAGTCCCATATTACCTCAGGGTCCTGTAGAGAAGAGGTACATTACATAAGATCATTTATGAAAGCAAAAATTTATTAGGCTATCTATTCACAAAGTGTTATAATTAGAGGATTCTTTCATGACAATCTAATTTTGAAGTAATTACAATGCAACTCATGCTACTTGACACATTCTTCATGTGATGACATCATGTTGGTAATTAATGTGATGTGCTGTTAAACTTTTAAGGTACCCTAACACCTTCACTATGAGACACCACTTTTAATATCTTATTTACTTTTATCCTCTTCACCACTGATCGGCTCGTTAGCCGCTTGGGCGATTGGTCACGTCTCTATTATGCACTGTTGGCAAGTAATAGGCATGCACTGGCTCCTGAATCTATCTGAACCCACTCCAGTGTTGGTCAAGTCTGGTCTTGAAAGAGCTCACACTCGGTGCCGTCACAACGCTTTCTGGTAGACTATTAATTCAGCTCAGAGGAGGACCCGTCCAAACACAAGGGGTCAGTAGATTATCTCCACTAATCCTTTCACTACAATACATCACTTTGAATATTTCATTTGGTTAATGCCAGAAAATTTTATTTAGCTCAGAGGGGGAACCCATACACAAGGGGTAATTATCTAGGCTACTTCATCAGCTAATAAAGGGTAGTACAGTGGACACTGAACTATCCAACAACCTAATACTGTAAGTATGACTATCAAGTATCTCTGCATCTTCCAATTTCAGAGTGACTGCTTCTGCTAAAATATCAGGTAAAGTACAAGGCTGGAAAGTACTAACTACCCTCCCTCCCAGCCAGGGTGAAGGTAGTTTTAGGCTTAGAAGAATATAACTTGCATTACTGAAATCCTAGCAAGATAGCAAATAATTTGAGTATAAACATCACATAGTTTGCACAATAAATAAAAACTTTAGTCCTTTAGTGTAGTACAATTGAGTACAAAATGTGTACAGTAATATGTTGCTCAAAATTAAGGCTCTTTCACATTTAATTTACATTTAATATTTGTTTAATTTAAATTTCCAGCAGCCTATGGTGCTTTAGATACACCGGAGGTGTATCATTAGTGGGTCAAATGTAGTGTTGAATATATATATATATATATATATATATATATATATATATATATATATATATATTTCAGCCATGGACTGAATAATGCATCAGTATTTACTGCTTCTGGTTCATATAGTGATTATATTTTATCACAATCAAATATGCATATACAATGTATAGGTATATTTACCATATTTAATATAGTTTATATCACCATATTTATTTAATTTACTATCTACTACATTTACTGTTTATTTAATGCAGGTTAGCTTTTGTATTACGTACTGTATATAGTTCATAATACACAGGTTTAAACAACAGTACTGTACAGTGATTAACATTTACAAACTCTTACCTCATCTGCTTCAATACAGTATCAGCCAGCCCTCCAGTCCCAGCCTTAATGGGCAGTAGAAAGTACAGCGCCCCCAAGTAAGTGGATTTAACTGCACTGAACCCAAATACACACATCAATATCATGCAACCCAAATTCCAAAGTACACGGGGGTCCCAAGTACGCGGGCGAGGGAGATAAAGAGGAAGTGAGCAAATGAGCTGGCTGTTGATTGGCTGAGTGGCCACTACCAACCAATAAGAGATGAGGACATCACTTCCTGGCTGTGACATCACCAACAATGCCGACGCCAGTCTCAGTCCTCCTCTCCTCAAGACACTACAGTGGCTTGTTTTTTCCTGTATTTTTTAAGTGTTTTTGGCTGTTACAGCTACCATGGCTACCCCACCTACTGCTGTTGGGACTCCAGCACCTGCCCAGCCAGGCAGAAGAGTGAAGTCAATGACCTTGTCGTGCAAGGAGATAATAGACTGGCTGGACAATGGCAAGAAAGTGTTTATTGTTCTTATTTAAGGACTTATTTCTGTTTTATTATTGACCTTATACAGGTATAACTAAGGTACACATATTTAACAAAGTGCTTTGAAAGACCAGTTTTTCCCAATAGTTTATAGTACCCAAGTACAAGGTTCCCAGGCACGCTCCTCTATGTTGGCACCAATTAACCACGTACTTGGGGGAAGCACTGTATTTACTGGTACTGTATATGTAGATATACAGGTGTGCATAGCTTAAGTAGGCCCATGTACAGTACCTGTATACCTAAATCACATTGTCAACTGCACTGTACAAGTAAAGATTATCAACTCCTTATCTGGCTAAGATAAAAAATTTCCTGAGAAAACTGTGTAAGTGAAAGTGTCACCAACCTTATCTTGAGCTCTGAGCCATGCATCAAATGATCGCTTCATGCCAAAACCATAATCTTTGTAGTACTGTTGTAATGATGGAACTTTCCACGTTGGCAAGTAGTCATCACCAACCACATACTTATCACGAACCTCCGGGTCAAATGGATGATACTTTTCAGGACAAAACCTGAAAATGTTAAACTGGGTATCAGTTTTATATTTGTTTGGTTATCTATCCAAGTTTTTCATAATAAAGGAATTATGAATTTTTCACTTGCCAAAAATCTATTTTTTCATAAAGATTGCAACCTACAGAATATCACTCCCTCCCTGGGGCTCTTCAATGGAATCTTATACAGTATTGCATTATCATCATGGTTACCTTACCTAAAGAGTACATCTCCCTCATAGATGTAGACCCTGAGTGGCTGTATTGATGTAATTATGGTGTACACGCCAATGTCAAATTTGTACCCATCAACAAGGATTGGGTTGTGGACAAATTCTTGAACAAAAGATCCCTCAGCTCCTAAGTCTAAGGCATCCAGCTTCTCAATTTTAATCCCACGATGGTTGTTGGACTTTTGCACAAACATCATATCTGGGTTCTGTTTGGCATATTCAAGTAGATTAGATTTTTCTGCTGGCATCCTAAAGGCTCTGGGAATGAAGGGCAGTCCAGAAACAGCAAGATTGACTTTATTAGTTATGAAGCCTGAGCCAGGGAAGTGGTTAACTCTTTGGTGAGGCTTGAGATGAGTCATCATCTGCTTGAGTTCCCTGAAGGGATAATTATGTGACCATAAAACATTCCAGTCTTCTCCATCCTCTGCCAGGTCATAGCCCAGCCGGTGTAAAACATTGGTAACATGTGTCAGATAACCTGTGCCCTTGTTTGAGCCACGGACCCAGGCAACAGGCCGCGCATAGTGACTTGCCCCTCGTGCCTCTGCCACTGCTTCACCTGCAAAAGGAATATGATAATGATTATAAAGTTCATCATTTACTGGGCACTGTTTAAATGTAATATTGTACTGTATTGTACTTAACCTACAACAGTTCCTGAATGATAATGGACCAAAGTGAAAAGAAAAACCAACGGAATGAATGACACCATAATATATTACAAGGTAAACAATCAATATGACACAGAAGAACTAAAATAGGAAATGGAGCAAATGAAGGCTTGGTCTGAAATATGGCCTCACTCCTTCAAATGGTAAATACAGACAAATGCAAAACATTACAGTCTGGTAAACATATCCCTAAAGCAGTCTATACCATGAGGTCAATATATATTGCAGCAGAGATGGAAGAGAAGGATTTGGTTATTCATATATCTACAGATCTAAAATGTCATGTTTAATTATACACTATAACTTTGAGTATGTGGTGTAGTGTCACTAGCCTGCCCCAATCAGTACCAATTATTGCCTAAAAAGTAGACAACAATATGGATACACAGGTTTAATGCCTTCATCCAGAACACACATTAGTAACAAACTTTCTGTAATACTTACTTACTTATCCACTTCACCACTTGTCAAATGAGCAGTCTGTTGTGTTACTCATTGTTGGCAAGCACTGTACAGGGCATCTACAGGCTCTTCAATGTACCTGAACATGTAACAGTGTTTGGTCAAATCTGCTCTTATATGAGCTCACACTTGGTGCTGTCACAACATTTTCTTTTAGGTTATTCATAATTTTAATTCCAACACAGTTCGGTGGCACCTTTCTGCATCAATACTGTAGTCTCTCTAAGCTTGAGGCTGACTTCTAATGGGGTGACTGCCTACCAACTCCATTGACTGAATAAAAATCTTTGAGGGGCTATCTTGGTAAGTGAGGAGCCTGAGTGCCAGCAGTTATCACCTGAACCATTCTTAATACTTTCTGTAGTAGTATTTTCTTGCTGTGTATCATCGACCTTTTTATTAATAGTATGTACAGTACAATATTTATATATTCACTGAGGTACAGGTCCTGTACTTAGCTATGTATACAGTAGCCTACAGTATATGTATTTTCATAAACGTCTGAATGTTGGTGGTGGGATGAAGTGGTGGTTATTTTCAATATTGTATTACATGTACAGTACAGTATACTAATTTGCCACATTTCCTAAATACAGTATCATTGAAGTCAGTGGCAGATCTGGATTTTTGAATGGGGGGCTAATACACACAAACCACAATATTCTGCAAATGTGTATTTTATTTTATTTTCTATGTACAGTAATACAAGACTGTACTGTACTCATCTCCAATACTGTACTAAGGCTTGCTGCTTCAATTTCAGGACACTCCAAGTCCATCCAGCAGTAAATGAATGCCAATCTTTAATAGTTGAGGAAGTGAAAGAACTATAGTTGAGTACAATGCTGGGAATACTGCCTCCTTAGTATACAGTGTGCTGCTTCCACACTGTCCCCAACAAGCTGTCTGGCCTTTGGGACCCACTTTCACTGTATTATAATGAGTATATATTTGAACTGTACTACTGCATTTTACATCTCCATCTGCTTATTTTAATATCTGATTTGACTTAGTAGTACATCATTGTATGAGTAGATCTCAACAGATTTACCACAAAATCTGGAACCAACAATAACTAACACTGAAGTACTGTACCATATAACCAACCAACACCAGCTTGTTACCATATTACAGTATATCTAATGTTAGCAAGTGATCTGAGTACAACTACATCCTCACAAGCTTGTCAGAAAGACTCGGATGGTAGACTAATATCCAGACAAACAGGAAGAGACATACCAATCCTACCTTAACCTGAGCGAGATAAGCTGACAAGCCCAGTTGACTGACACCAGGCCACACTTTGGCTATGGAACATCCCTCACCTCCATATTTTCATAAAGTAATACTTATTCACCTCCTGTAGATCATACTTCAACATTATCAATACAAAATTTCCCCTTCTTGTCTACCAACATCTAGACATCTAAACCACAATGACTCTTTGCATCCATTGACTGCCATAAACAAACCCCCTACAATATTCTCAGCATCTTCATCTCAAATACACACCATGGACGTGTTCTCTACTCCAGTGTTCGCGGGTCAGGCTATGTAGTTCATACACATTGAGGGCTGTAAGCATGGTTCCAAATACCAATACAACCACCACAGCCAGGAGAAACCTCATTTGTCGCCTTGAGATGGATGTGCTGGCTGCTCCAACACCCATCCCACCGCCTGCAGCTGTACCCATTACTGTACGTACACTACACCATTCCTGAAAACAAATATCTGGGATTTAGTTAATTTGTTATTATTTAGTTTTATAAAAAATCACTAGCATTTAAATGATCTGTATTAATTTAAATCATATAATAATGTCAAGAATATTAAATTGAATTGTTACTAGAATTTAAATTTAAGAACACTCCAATTTTTTTAAATAATTAATACAATATTTTATTTGGCTACTTCCAGATGATTTTATTCAGCTCAGAGGAGAAACCATACACAAGGGTTTAAACAAGACATAATCTCAGAGACAAGCGGGGTACCACAGGGCAGTGTATTGGACCCAGTGTTGTTTGTTTGTTTGTTTGTTTCACAAATGATATGCCAGAAGCTAGACACTCCTCCATACAAATGTTTGCGGACGATGCCAAGTTATTTAGGGAAATTAAGAACCAAACAGACTGTGAAGAGTTGCAGAAAGATCTCTGTGAACTTCAAGAATGGTCAAAGAAATGGCTGCTACGATTCAATGTCATGAAGTGTATGAGGCTGCACCTGAGACGTACCAACGGTAAGGAGGTGTATGTCACAACAGGACGAAGAAACTGCATTAATAGAGACAATGCGAAAAGGACCTAGGTGTGTATGTTGACAATGAACTGAAGTTCTCGGGTCATTGTGAGAAGAAGGTGAATCAAGCAACTAAATTATTAGGTCCGTCCCTCGTAACAATCTTCAAGAGTGAGGTGCTTCCCCGTCTGGAGTACTGTACTGTCACCCCCTCTGGTGCCTGCATTTTGGCACCTCAGCTATCCAGAGAGATTAGAGCGCCTGCAACTACCAAGCTTATGCTACAAACGGACAAGGGGTGACTTAATTCAGGTGTATGAACATCTCAAAGGACAATACTCACTCGAGTGCCCATACCTGGAGCTGCCAAATCCAGAAAACTGTGAGGCCAAACTTTTTCAGAGTGAGAGTTGTGAACTCTTGGAACAACCTGCCAGAGTGTGTTGTGGCAGCACCGAGTGTGAGCTGCTTCAAGACCAGACTTGACCAACACTGGAGCAGGTTCAGATACATTCAGGAGCCAGTGCATGCCCAGTACTTGCCAACAGTGTGTGTGACAGAGACGTGACCAACCGCCCATGCGGCTAATGAGCCAATCAGTGGCGAAGAGGATAAAAGTAAAAAGTATGGCCCAAATGCTGTTATACCCATATGATGAGTTGTAAACCCAATGCCCATGCTCTCCGAGGATTCTATCTCAGAGAGATGGCTCTCACAACAAAATTGTTTGCCATAGTGATTCCATAAGAATCCTCTGGAAGCGAAGATAGTACCACTGAAAACGTAGATGGGGATACTGTACTGAAACAGCTATTGCAGTAGTTCAAAAGCACAGTTCTATCGATGTACAAGGTTCACATGTGCTGTACAAAGAACAAGTGAAGGAACTAGATCAACTCATGAATGGTGGCCTAGATCTCAGCATCCTATCAGATGACATTACTGAATCCTCAGTGCTTGTTTCACTGAATGATGCTGCAGAGAGCAAGAAAATATTACTGACCACACAATCATGCACAGCAAAACTGTGGATACAATATTCAAAGTACATCAGAGTGATAAAGGAGCTCATCAGCCATTGGTAAGTTGCTCAAACTCTTTGCTGTAACAGGGTACAATATATACATTATCCTAAAAGTGCTCATATCTATCTCTAAATGATGCAGAAGCTCCCATCTTCGTCCATGACTGCATAAGAAATTTGTCGAGGAAGGCTATCATACAGTGCGAAGGAGTGAGGGGCTCTGGGCTGGACTCTGGACTGACCTTGTGATCGAACAACTCATTTGAGTTCTTTAAAAAGTCGTGGGAGCCTAACCAGAGGTACAGGCATGACGGAAAATTAAAGTGAATTAAAGTGTGTACGTGAATCCTGCAACAACACTGGACCTGTCATGGTCACTCATGACAAATCTGACGTTTTGACGACATAACATTGCATACAGGCAAGGTCATGGCCCTAATTCACTTGACCGAAATAAAAAAAATAGCCCTGGAAGGTTATTTCAAACCCTTGTAAAAAAAAATTCCCAAAAGAGAATCAGTACAGTTTTACGCATAATAATTCCAAAATCATTTCTAAGGGATTTTTTTCCAGGTTCCATCATTCTCCCACTGAACTATAGCCTAATTTCCATCCCTGACACATGAAATAAGCAAAAGTTGATCTTGATCCCCTATTGAAGATATTTGTATGTTTGCGTCTGATTGGTACTTTTCCCACCAGTAATATATATATTTTATTTATTTATTATTTTTTGATTGGTGGATCTGTACTCTCCCATTTACTAAGTCCTTTGATCGGAAGTATCAAAAGTTCCCAAATAAAATGCTCCCTATAAATGGTGATGTACGAACGCTTCTAACAGGCAACAATGCAAACTGACTGAATGGTTTCGAGAAAATAATAAAAAAAAAAAAAATGGTTTCGAGATTAAACATGAACTCGACCGTGACTAGTAATGCGCATGAATGATCTATGTCGTGGGTTGCTCCTAGCGTGCCTCACTTGCCCTCAGAGAAGAATAATGGTGGCTTGGGGAGAATAAGAAAGCCTGTCTGCCCCAACGCCGAGAGAAAATAATCACAACGCATCAACACCCCACGCCCAGTCGACCAGTGTCAGTAACTCCACAAATCTTAAACGTACAAAATCTGTCCAGGAATCTTGTCGATCAAGACGGTCCTGCATCAGAGCACATGGTAGTAAATATTTAATTAGCGAAAGGGAATGTCTCGGAACATCATTCTACAAACAAAAAATGAAATTAGTGAAAGGCAGTTTGTCTCGGAGCACTGTTCTACAGCCAGAAAATAGTCTTATGTACAAACTTCTTAAGTGTTAGTTTCTGGGCATTTAACCATGGGTCTGTGACAACTAACTCCAGATGGTGAACAACAGATGTACCGCAGAAAACAACTCCAGGCAGGATCTAGACTCACGACACCAAGTGATTTATTTATTTACAGACAAAACTGTCCCGAGAGACTAATGATAGTAATAATGGGAATACAGTAGCTGGATAAGCCAAAGATTTCCTGGGGGTTCGAGTAAATACCTGAATGGATCAAAACAAACTATTAAAATGCCTGAATGAACGTTCTGTGGTGGTGTGTGTAACGGAAAGATGTCTTGAATAAAGACGAAAGCTAAGGTGCTCCATTGTTTCCCTTTTCCCTGTGTGATTTTATCAAGATTTATCTTATCCACATCTTCATTGTGGATCTACACACACACACACACACACAATATATATGAACACATATGAACCAAACTTGGATATCATCATAAATGTAGACCAATGAGCGGTTCTCCCATTTAAGTTCAACACCCTCGAAAAATGTACGATATAACGCAGCCTCCTGGAAACAATGTTTTATAATTCATAAATACTGTACAGTTAAAACGTACATAAAACCAAGCAGGCGAAGAATTTTTTTAATAAATATAATATATACCTGCATAGGTATATAAATCAAGACACATAGACAACACTTGTAATCACAAATACACATACAATCACACATATAAGCATTACAGTACACACCGGAACACATCTGCAATTTAATGTATAACAATCATTTTCGCCACTTTTCGGTCATTATTTTGCTTCGCTGCACTACCTTGGAAATTATAACACTAACAAGTGAAAATAAGTATATTACATAAATAGGAACTCCCAGAAAAAAAAATACTGTATGAACTTTTCACCCCAAGAACATGAGTTTCGTGAAAATAAAAACCATGCCAAGATGAGACACTCGCTAAAATAAAGACCCGTGGCCTCTGGCAGCAGTTTCGTAACCATCCTGGCCAAATGTGTTAACTGAAATTGGCGGAAAGGAGACTCTGATTAATCTTGTTTACCAACTTTCCTTAAACCCCCTTTCGCACGCACCCCACAAACGCGCGCACAGCACACACACACACAACCACATGAGATCCTCTACAACACCGTCAGTTATTTATAGACAACCAGTATTTTCACTCCATGTCTAAAAATTGTACTTAAATCGTTTGTTAAGCCATTTATCCCCAATTCCCCTATACCTAATACTGTGAGTCATTTAGTCCATTATATATTTTCAGCTTGACTGATGTACTTTTCAATAAACTGTTTAATATTATTATTAATTTATTAGTATTATTATACACAAACACAGACACACGGTCCTGCACAGCAAGCCTAAATCGGCCTCTCTAGTCACCTCAGAGCTCACCAACGAAGGTGACATCCTTAATAACTCGTATCAATGTATCATAGCTAGATGATCATCATACTAGATTCCGAGTGACAGCAAAGTAGTAGTAGTAGTAGTAGTATGTGTATGTGTGTGTATGTGTGGCGTTTCTAACAGCTGTAGAAAAATATCCCCAAACTTATCTCTTTTTCATACCTTACACCGGAGCAGTAAACAATGATCAGTGTCAGCGCGCTAATATCCATCTTAATTTTCCTGGCAATTCAGTCAACGGCGCGCGCCTGAAGGGCGAGTGAGCCAACAAGAAAAGAAGCCGGTATGAAAGCGAAATGCCTAGAAAGTCACCAGGCAAAAATAACAAGCCCACACGATACCTATCCGAGAAAGAGACAACAAGCGGGATCACCTGAAGAACCTTCACCCAGCTTATTTCACCTAAAGATTACTCACCCTAACCAAACCTAACCAAAACCCCTCAGGTGAAATAAGCTAGGGTGGAGATTCTTCACGTGATCCGTGTGTGTGTGTGTGTGGTAAAAAACTAGAACACAAAAGCAGAGCAAACGAGCTGGACAGCTGGCAAAGAACGGAATGTGATAAAGAGGTACGGTAATGACTCGCTCAGCTGGTGCCTGTCGTCCCGGCCACCAGCTGTCAGAGACAACTATTAACTAATGTGGATCATAACACAGACGCGCAGTCGTGGACAATAACAACACGGATCAGCTGATGTAGATAATAACAAGAATAAGCTCATGCAGACAATAATAACAA